TTGAAGACATCAAGACTGTTTTGGCCATCATTCCGGTCATCTAGTGGAGAGTTAATGAGAACCTGAATTGTGGCTCTTATGGAGAAAAACTTCAATAGAATTTAGTGACTAGCTGGTTTTGGGTTAGGGACTGTCCAGTTCAATACTTGTTTACTTTTGACTGGGGCCAGGATTGGAGCCTGCAACCAAGGTACATGCCCTTGACGAGAATCAAACCCTCCACCCTTTAGTCCCCTGGCCAGTGATCTATCTGCTGAGACAAATTAGCTAGGGCTGGCTCATTTAGAAAGTTTTATTGAAAACATAAATTTTTTTGTTGTTGTTGTGCCTTAAACTTGCATATTGACATTTCTGTTGTACCATATACACTTATTTTCTGTAGTTTTTAATAAGGTTGGCATACAAGGGTAATGGTTGTTCTAAATAATAAACAACTAATAATTTCTTAGGTATGAAAATTATAAAAGTGCTTAATGATTTGATGTGTGGGGTTGTGATTCCATGTCGTATTAAATTTGAGTTATGAGGTTGTCAAGTAGTGTAGAACGTATTTTTCTAATTCCTAATAAGTAAAAGATAGGAATGATGATCAGAAGCACAATTATTTTAGTGAAATTCTATGGGGGAAGGTTTTTTCAAAGCCACATATGACATACCTGACTTAAAAATGTTAAGTTGTTGAGATTTTAATGTGATATTTTTCATTAGTCATTACATTTACATCACAAAATTGAGTTGGAATATCAAGACATGGCCATTGGATGAAATGAGTTGGTTTCTTAAACAAATTTGGATTTTAATAATTTATGAAAACCTTTTTTATTTTTTATTTACAGGATATGACATGTCTACATTTATTAGGCGGTATAGTAGATATCTAAATGAAAAAGCAGTTTCATACAGACAAGTTGCATTTGATTTCACAAAAGTGAAAAGAGGGTGAGTTAAGCTTCATTTCTTTTCTTTTTCTTGACATCCAATAGATTTGAATATTTATAAATGTAAATCATAAAAAATATTAGACTATGAATTATGGAATATCAGGCCAGTTGAAAACATTTGAACTTCAAATTTCCCTGTAAATGTACAACAGATACTTTTTGTACTAGGAGTTTTAAATTTGGTAACAGCTTTATTGAGATAGAATTTACATAACCTAAAATGTGCTGTATTTAGGATTTTAAATTCAGTGGTTTTTAGTATATTTACAAAGTTGTCCAACATCATTACTATCATATCTGAAAACAACATTTTTTAATTATTTTTATTTTTAATTACAGTTGACATACAATATTATGTTAGTTTCAGGTGTACAAACCAGTGATTAGGCATTTCTATAACTTACAAAGTGATCACCCTGATACAACTACTTTATGTTCCCTATGCTATACCTTACATCACCATCGCTATTCTCTAACTACCAGTTTGTACTTCTAAATCCCTTCATCTTTTTCACTCACCCACCCCTCCCAACACCCCTCTGATCTGGCAATCATTAAAATGTTCTCTGTATCTATGAATCTGTTTCTGTTCTACTTATTCATTTATTTTTAAAAATTTTTTTAGATTTCACATATAAGTGAAATTATCTGGCATTTGTCTTTCTCTAATTTATTTCACTAAGCACAATACCCTCAAGGTACATCCATGTTGTTTCAGATGGCAAGAGTTCATTCCTTTTTTTTTTTTTTTTGGCTGAATCATATTTCATTGTATATATGCACCACTACTTTATCCATACATACATTTGTTGATGGACTCTTAAGTTGCTTCCATATTTTGGGTATAGTAAGTAATGTTGTAATGAACAAATTGGATGCATATGTCTTTCTGATTTAGTGTTTTGGATTACTTCAGAAAAATACCCAGAAGTGGAATTCCTGAGCCCTTCTTTGTCTCTTGTAGCCTTTGTTTTAAAGTCTTATTTTGTCTGATACAAGTATTACTATCTCAGCTCTTTTTATTCCATTTTTATGAAATATCTTTTTCCATCCCTTTACTTTCAGTCTGTATACCTTTCTATCTGAAGTGAGTCTCTTGTACACAGTATGTGTAAGGGTCTTGTTTTCTTATCTCTTCAGCCACTGTATGTCTTTTGATTGGAGCATTTAATCCATTGCATTTAAAGTAATTGTTGATAGATATGTAGTTATTGCCATTTTATTATTCATATTTTTTATCTTTTTCTTTAAAGAAGTCCCTTTAACATATCTTGTATTGCTTGTTTGATGGCGATGAACTCCGTTAGCTCTTTCTTGTCAGGGAAGCTCTTTTATCTGACCTTCAATTCTAAATGATAGCCATGCTGGATAGAGTAATCTTGGTTGTGGGTCCTTGGTTTTAATCACTGAATATTTTTTGCCTGCAAAGTTTCTGTTGTGAAATCAGCTGGCAATCTGATTAGCATTTCCTTTTAGGTAACTAGCTGCTTTTCTCTTATTGCTTTTAAGATTCTATCCTTGTCTTTAACATTTTGCATTTTAAGTATGATGTGTCTTGGTGTGGGCCTCTTTGGGTTCCATCTTGTGGGGTACTCTTATCAGCTTCTTGAACTTGTATTGAGCTTCCTTGGACTTGTGTGTCTTTTTCCTTTACTAGGTTAGGAAAGTTTTCAGTCATTATGTCTTCAAATAGATTCTTAATCCCTTGCTCTTTCTCTTCTCGTCCTGGTACATCTATGATGCAACTGTTACACTTGATATTGTCCCATAGGTTCATTAAAAATCCTCATTTTAGAAAAATTCTTTTTTGTTTTTGCTGCTCTGATTGGGTGGTTTTTCTACCTTGACTTCCAAATTACTGATTCGATTCTGTGCTTCATCTAATCTGGTGTTGATTCCTTCTAGTGTATTTTTCATTTCAGTTATTGTATTTTCATTTCTGACTGGTTCTTTTTTATGGTTCCTATGTCTTTTTTTTTTTTCTTCTTCTTCCCTGCTGGAATCATGTAATATGTGGCTTTTTGTGTCAGGCTTCTTTGACTTAGCCTAATGTATTAAGTTTTAGCATCCTTGTTTTAGGATGGATCAGTACTTATGGCTTAATCATATTCAGTTGTATGGATTATACTGCATTTTGTTTTCATTAGCTGATGGACCTTTGAATGGTTTCTACTTTTTGGCTATTAGGATTAGTGCTGCTATGAGCATTGGTGAAAAAGTTTTTCCGTGGAATCTTTTCAGTTCTCTTGGGTATGTTTCTAGGAGTGGAATTGCTGGGTTATATGGTAACTCTTACGTTTAGCTTCTTGAGGAACTGCCAAACTGTTTCATTTTGTTTTTAAAGCAATTGATCTGTTTTATGTTCCTACCAGCAATATATGTGGATTCAATTTCCACACATTCTTGTCAATACTTGTTATTTTTTTATTATTATTATAGTCATCCTAGTGGGTATATAGTAGTATATCATTATGATTTTTTTGGTTCGCATTTCCCTGATGGGTAATAATGTTAAGTGTCTTTTTATGTCTTTATTGGCCATTTGTATATCTTTGGAAAAATGTCTGTTCAAGTCCTTTGCTTGTATTTTAATTAGGTTTTATATAAGGGAGTTTAGTGTCTGTAGATTTTGGTATTCATGGCAGGGATGTGTGTCGTAGAGCCAGTCCCCACTAGTACTGAAGTACAAGTTATGTTCCCTAACCCCCCTGCATTGTTCAAGGCCAACTATACTCCTTTATAAAGCCCTTTTTTGTATTCTGACAAATTCTTAGTTATTTTTCAAGAATTCACTCTGACATTTCTTTGAGGAAGCCTTATTTCTGTTGTTAAATTTTATATAACATGCTCACACCCATGAGAGTATAGTCGTGCCATATTCATATATTTAGGACTCTCCAGAGTGCCGAAACATAGTGCAGCAGTTCTCAACCTGTGGGTCGCGACCCCTTTGGGGGTCGAACGACCCTTTCACAGCGGTCGCCTAAGACCATCGGAAAACACATATATAATTACATATTGTTTTTGTGATTGATCACTATGCTTTAATTATGTTCAATTTGTAACAATGAAGTTGGGGCCACCACAACATGAAAAGGGTCGTGGCATTAGGAAGGTTGAGAACCGTTGACATAGTGGATGTTTAATAGTTTTCGAAAAGATGACTAAATGAGTTTGTAAACAGTACATTAAATGGTTCAATGAAAAATAGACCCAAAAAAGAAAAAAAGAAAAATAGATCCAGTAAATTGCCCATAGATTTGTCTTTTTAGTTGGTTAAACATTGGACTCTTCATTTTGATTTGTTTGTTTAACATTCTATTTGGTAGTATTATGTTGAATTATCTTGAATTCTAAATTAGTACAGTTCAAAGTAACAAGACATTGTGTAAATTAATCAAGATATTGTATGTGAATAAGGACATGGATAATTAGCCTTTAACCCATTGCTGTTATATTTGGGAAGCAAGTATCTGAATTTAATTGTAATCTATTTAAAAAGTCATAAGAACCTGTGCTCTGCATGGAGTATGAATTGTCATACATTTGATTTGAATCATGTTCAAGCATGTGGGATTGTGAATTATTTGTGGTAATAATTGTTAAGATTCTTCTTAATTAAAAAATTTAAAGTTCTCTGGGAAGAAATGATGTGGAGGCTAGTGAGAGAGGGAGGAATCAGAAATATCCCCACAGTTTCTGGCATAAGTCACAGGGTACATGGCACTATTTACAGGGAAGATTTTGGGGAGTGGTATAAGGTAGGGTGTAGTGCTAAAAAGTAAGGATTTAGTTTTAGAAATACTAGTTTTGAGTGATTTGTACAAGTTGAGATATCAAGTAGGCAGTTAATATACTAACTTGGAACTTGAGAGTTCTAGTCTGGGAATATAAATATGTCAATGGCATTTTGCTAATTTCTGTCTTGGGAAGGACAGCTTACCTGGGGCATAAATTCAGAATGAGAGAAGAAGGTCCAGAAAACCTTGAGATATACAACTGTTTTAGAGGATGGATAAAAGATGAGGAGCCAGCAAAAGAGATTGGAAAGTGATCCTGAGGTAGGAAGAAAACAAAGAGGGAATTATATAAGAGATGCTGAGAGTAGAATATTACAAGAATGAAGAAAACTTGAATGATGCTGAGAAGTCTAGTCAGATAATATTAGGTAAGTACCCATTGGAGAAGCAACATGGAATACCTAGATAACCTAAACTGGAGAAATTGAACTGGATGGTAGGAGTGGGGCTCATAATGCAATGAATTGAATAATGAACAAAATGTGAGGAAGTGGCCACTCTTTTGAGAAATATGCTTGACTCTGCAAGGGAATAGTACGGGATTAGTGGTGGTGGTGGTGGTGTGTGTGTGTGTCTGTTTGAAGAATGGTGATTCTAGAAACTTTGCTTGCATGTTCATGGAAATGATCTAGTATAAAAGAAAAGGTTAATAAGCTGCATTGTCCAATATGCTAGCTACTTGCCACATGTGGCTATTTAAATTTAAACTGATTAAAATAAAATCAAATTTAAAAAATCATTTCCCTTGTTGCATCAGCTACATTACAGATGCTAAGTAGCCACTTATGGCTAGTGGCTACCATATTGAATGGTGGAGATACAGAACATTTCCATCACTGCAGATAGTTCTGTTGGACAGTCAGTGCTGTGTTAGAGAAGAAGACAACTAAAGGATGTGACAGAGTGGGATCCAGAGGACCTGTGTGAATGGTGTTTACATTTGCTAGAAAGAAATACTTTTGCTACTATAATAGGAATAGACCAGATAGATGTAGTTTTGGTGGCAAGATGACCAGCCAATCTCTCTTTATCATTTTCTATTTCTGAATGATATATTTTGAGAGTTAAATGCTGAGAGTTTGTGTGTTGGGTGTGGGATACAAAGAAGGGAGTGGTGGGAGAAGGAAGTTTGAAGTATAAGTACTGAGGAGAGGAATTTAAGAGAAGGCTAAGAGAATTACTGGCAATGCTGAGTCCTCATTTGAAGTTGATTATGAATTTGTTATAGTTTTATCAGTTTGCTCAGTTTTGTGGTTTTCTTTACCAGGACTCAGCTGCATCTTACTGTCATGGATGAGGTAAATGTTGGCTCACCCAGGATTGTGAATTTGTCAGGTGACTGCAAAGGAAGAAGAGAGTACAGAGGAATTTAATAGTAATATTTGGAATTCTAAACTAGATGAAGGAAGTAAAAATGTGGGAACAATGTGGATAGTGGGTTTGGTACGTTGAATTATGATGAAGTCAAATAGCTTTTGTCATGGGGGATAATTGACCAAGGTTGCCAGAAGGTTCAAAGGTTATTGTTATAGGATATGGTATCTGAATTTTGTTTTTGTTTTTTTCATTTGGTGGTGGGGGGGATGGTTGATGTGGCTTTTGGGACAGTAAACTCAGGATCTGACCATGGGAATAAGAACTGCTATTAAGGCACTTTGGGATAAGGATGTTGGATTTGTTATCCATGTAGATGTTGAAGTTAAGAAAAACTGAGGCAGAGTTTAAGTCTCTTGTGATGGAGGGGAAGTGACCAGAAGTAAAAAGTGACCTCAGCAAGGAGAGAGAGGGAGAACGAAAAGGGGACCAAGTAATGACTTATAAAATGAGTGTATGATGACAATAAAAAAAGGGTTACAATGAGGGAATGGTGTCCTATTCCAAACTCCAGCAGCTAGTACCAATCCATGTAGTTTAGTATTTGAGAGGTTACCTAGCCTTATTGGGGAGAGTTGTTGGGCTAAAGCTAGTCAGTAGCTGCCTACCCAAGGCATTCCAGTGTTGTGTAGCACAAAGCTCTATTGTTGCTTTCCTGGCTTCTGGGGTTGTGATTGAAGAGAGTAACTCAGGGTTGGAGCAGCTGGTTATAGTATGGTTTATTTATAAATTGGAGAAAGCTTGCGCACTTTTTGAAAGTGCCTTGTTACTCTGCCAAAAGGTTACAAAAAGCACTGTTTTGAAGTCTAATATAGCGGGGTTTATATAATGACCCTACCACTGTTTAGTTCTCTGACCGTAGACTGTCATATAACCAACCCCACAACCTAAAATTTCACCACCTATAAAATGGGGCAGGCCACCTACAGGATTTTTGTGAGGATTTGGAAAACATAGCAAGTTCTTAATGTGGAGCCTGATACATAATAAGCACTTAGTATTAGTGATATATCTTAGCCTCAGTACTTTTTATCTAGAGTTTTTGGTACTAGTTTTGTAAAATTCTAGTTTATTTGGTACTGCTAATATTTCTCTTATGTTAAGAAATATCTAAAATATTCAAAGGAATATTTTTGGAACTACTTAAAAAATATTTTATTAAAAACATTCCTCTTAATATTCACTTATTTAATGATCAGATTAGAATGACTTGGTAAAATTGTCTTATTTTATAATAAAATGATTTTAGTTATAATTTTCTGTATAACAAGCAATTGGTATTTGAGTAATGAATAAAATAGACTTGAGTTTAAGTGCTAGCGCCATTAAATCCTGACTATTAAGTGATTTGTGGCAATTATTTTATTCGTAATTTTAAAAAAATAGTAAAATTGCTATTTACTGGTATACACATGTGTGATGTGAGGATCAGATGATTTCCTCATGTAAAAAGTAAATTATATAAACCTGGTGGTATGATGTAAACTTTGATTTTTATTCTCTTATTTTACTTTTCTTTTTTTTTTAGTTTTAAATGAGCATCTTGATAGACATATTTTCTGTTTTTGTTTTTTCTCTATGATTTATGCTTGAGATTTCAGGCTCAGTAATGACTTTAAAAATATGTGATGTTTTATAGCAACTTGTTCTCTGTTTAGAGAACCATATGGGAGTTTGAAATGTAGGTTTATTAACAAACTCAGTTGTTTCTTTTTTAGGGCTGATGGAGTTATGAGGACAATGAACACAGAAAAACTCCTAAAAACTGTACCTATTATTCAAAATCAAATGGATGCCCTTCTCGATTTTAATGTAAGTTGATTGCACCAATCTTTTGTAACTTAAGATTTTAAAAATGTTATAATTGGTTGAGGTTTTTATTTTCACAGACTCTGATTTTTCATACTAATACCCTATTTGGCTAAGTGTTTTCTATAAATGTGGGCTCAAATCAGATTACTTTCCATTTTTAAAAAAATATATATTTTATTGATTTTTTACAGAGAGGAAGGGAGAGGGATAGAGAGTTAGAAACATCGATGAGAGAGAAACATCAATCAGCTGCCTCCTGCACACCCCCTACTGGGGATGTGCCTGCAACCAAGGTACATGCCCTTGACCGGAATCAAACCTGGGACCTGTCAGTCCGTAGGCTGACGCTCTATCCACTGAGCCAAACCGGTTAGGGCTTACTTTCCATTTTTATAATTGTTTTAGATTTACCCTGATTTCGTGGGTAGTGCTTCTCTAGCTCTAGAATTAGAGGTATACAGTCATTCTTCTGTATCCATATGGGATTGATTCAAGGACCACCTGTGGATACAAAATTCACAGATGCTCAAGTCCCTTATATAAAACTAGAGGCCTAGTACACAAATTCGTGCACGGGTGGGGTCTCTTGGCCTGGTTGGTGATCGGGGCTGATCGGAGCTGTCTTGCCCATTCCCATTTGGGGCCGATCGGGGCCGGCCAGCCGGGGAGAGACTGCGGGAGGGCTCCAGGGCGTGTCCAGCCCTCCCAGTCCTGATCTGCCAGACCCCAGCAGCAAGCTAACCTACCTGTCAGAGCGTCTGCCCCCTGGTGGTCAGTGCACATCATAGCGACTGGCCAAGCGGTCAACTGAATGGTCGACTGATCAGACACTTAGCATATTATGCTTTTATAATATAGGATAGCTTAGAATTTGCATATAATCTATGCACATCCTCCCATAAACGTTAATAATCTCTAGATTACTTATAATGCTGCGTAAATAGTTGTTATACTCTATCATTTAGGAAATGACAAGAAAATAAGTCTACATGTTTAGTAGAGATGCAACCGTTGTAGGTCTTAACTAGTACATGTCAGCAACAATGTAGCTTTTTCCCCCTACGTGTTTTCTATACATGGGTTCTTGTATATGAAGCACTTACTGTACAAGCTAAAGAAAGTGATGGAGAGGTTAAGGGGTTGATCTGAAAATCTGCTTTCTTTTGATAGTGGTTTTTAGATTTTTTAAAAAAAATATATGACAATTTTCTTTAGGAATAGCCAACTTAGTATTTCACTTTTGTAGGACTCAAAGCATTCAATTATTAAGGAATAAAAGGAAGTTCAAATAGACTTGTAGCAGCCTGTTTTGTAGAAATTGCCCAAGGATATTGTGTTCTCTGGAATTTTTGTTTTAACTACCATCACTTGAACCAAGTTTCTAACTTTGTGTGTAATATATTAAATATTAGTATTTTCAAGTCTTTTCTTTGAGGGGGAGGAATCTATTTTAAGACATTTTATTTTAGAGCTTGTAAGTGCAAGTTAGTGAATGGAACCGTAGCAATTTCATGCTGAAATTGATTTTTTCCTTTAATTCTTGCTGTTGATAGTCTTTAAGTTGCTTGAGGGCAGGCACCTCTACTGTGTGTCCCCATTATCAGAGGTGTGTGACACATAAATACTGTTCAATAAATATTCAGTAAATGAATCCTGTAAGTGCTTCATAGTCTAGAATGGGTTATCAGACTATGACCTGCTGCCTGTTTTTGTACAGCTTGTGAGCTAAGAATGATTTTTACATGTTTAATAAGTGGTTGAAAATAATATTTAAAAAATAGTATTTTGACAGATGAAAATTATGAAATTTAATATTGTTTACAATAATAATATTATTAGAACACAGCCAGGCTCACTGGTTACATAGTGTATGTGGCTATTATCACGATGTAATAACAGAGTTGAATAGCTGTGATAGTGACTATATAGCCTTCAGAGTCTAAAATACAAACAGGCCCTTACAAAAAAAGTTTTCTAACCCCTAGACTAGAAAGACACAAGAGAGTGATGTAACTACTGAATGATATTTTGGTTTTGATAGTGAAGAGGGTCCAACTGTGTAATTTGTTTTCACTTTATAAAATTACTCTCTTCAGTGTTTGTATTGTACTTCATTGTATGTAACAATTTACCTTTTATGCCTATTGGGAGTGGGGGGGGGATACAGAGAAGAGAGGGGACACTAATTTTGTGTGTGTGTTAGATAATGTGTGTATCTACACATTTTTAAACCTATTTTGTAGGGTTAATGCCTAAAAAAAGAATTTGGTTCAAAGGACATAAACATTTATACTTTTAAACTATTGCCAATTTACACTCTGAAAGGGTTGAGCCATTCACATGTCAACAGGTGCCTGTTTTTCTTAATTTTTATCCAGTAATACCTTGGTCTTGATTATTTTGATACCTGCTGGTCTGGTGCTCCAAAAAAGGATAGTTTTTTATTTTATTTTATTATATCTTATTATTTTTATTATTATATCTTAATTTTATTATTATATCTTAATTTATCTGGTAAGCAAAGGTGAGCTTCTTTTCACATATTACTGGTCATATGAATTATCTGTTACTTGCTTTATTATTAGGATTCTCTCTCCATAATAGAAATCAGCCTTGTTAGATATTCTGCACATATTTACCAATTGGTTGCTTACTATTTAACTTTGTGCTTATGCTTTTATATACCTACCTAACAAATTAATTTTCATGTACTACATATCCTTGTTATCTAAAAAAGAGCTTAAAAGTTACTTTGGCTTATCCTTTTGATTCATTCCTTGAGATAAAAATAAAATTATTTTTTGTATTCTTGATAGATAAATAAGTGATTTTTTTGTTGTTACAGCATAATTCAATAACAATAAATATTGGTTATTCATGTGTAAGGTACTGCACTAGGCTCTTGATACTCAGCATATCATATAATTCTCCCAGTAACCAGATGAGATAAAATTAATATTATCATAACTATTTTGAAGATCAGTTCGTCTGTGATATTAAGAAAAGGTATATCTATATATATAAAACCCTAAGTGACCGACCATTCAGCCAGTCGCTATGACATGCACTAACCAGCAGGGGGGCGCTCAACACAGGAGCTGCCCCATGGTGGTCAGTGCACTCCCACAGTGGGAGTGCCGCTCATCTGACCGGCACCAGGCACCATGCTCACAGCTGGAGAGCACAGCAGGACCGGGATGCGCCGGAGTGGTGCAGTGCCCAGCCCAAGCCCTTGTGGGGATCGGGTTGAAACCGGCAGTCCAACATCTCCTGAGGGGTCCCGGATTGCAAGAGGGCGCAGGCCAGGCTGAGGGACCCCACCAGTGCATGAACCCGTGCACCGGGCCTCTAGTATATTTAAAAGTATCTTCTACCTAGTTTGTTTAGCTCAGTGCCTTGGTGATTGTAGTAACCATTTAATAAATATCTTTTGGTTTAAAAATATTCTGTAAGTCCTTCATGACTCAAAGTGAACATCCATCTAGAAAGGGGCTTTATTTTGCAAGTTGAAGTATTTAATGTTGAAATGAACTTATGCTAAAAGACTTCTGAGATATAGCCCATGAATTTCAAGAGTTAACGGTACTTTTGTTCTCAACTATTTATTTCAAAATTAAATTTAATGTTGTAGGATGTTTGTTTGCTTGTGGCTTTTACAAACATCTAAACTCTTTGATTAAGATTTTTGCACTCTTTGGCTGTAACTCTAATTGCAAGAAATAAATGTCTTTTTCTTTAATACATCTAAATATATGAATTCACTGTATTTTAATTTGAAGGAAGTCATTGTTATTTAAAACATAAGATCAGCTAATTTTTTTTTCTAATTGTCCCCCCAGGTTAATAGTAATGAACTTACAAATGGAGTAATAAATGCTGCCTTCATGCTCTTGTTCAAAGATGCCATTAGACTGTTTGCAGCATACAATGAAGGAATTATTAACCTATTGGGTAAATATTGCTGTAGCTTAATGACATTTTATTTCTTATCTTGTGCCCTATGGGTAACTAATATTGTCTGAGTTGTTACTTAAGGTTGAATAAATATTTATTGAGATATATTCATTTGTTGTAACAATTTATTTGGGCAGAAATTTTATACCTGTTACATATGCTAAGTTATTAAATATACTTTTACAACTAGAATGTTTAGCTAAATGAACTTTATTTTTTTAGATATATCTGTGTTTTCTTCTATCAGTTTTATAATTTGTAGAAATATAAAAATTCCTTTAAAATTAACTTGGAATTTTCTGTCCAGGAAAAATCTTATTTCTTCATAATTTACTCCATAATGAACTTTAACTATAAAATTTTTGATATTTTTTCTAAACTTAATTTTAAAATGGATAATTATTTTAAATGCATTAAACTTTTTTTTTTAAGGATGAGGTGTTTTGGGGCATTTTAGGACTATATGGTGCTTTATTGTGTATTTGATATATGGTTGATCCTTGAACAGCACAGGTATTTTTTTCAACAAATATAGTAAATATATTTTTCTTATTATTTTCTCTCTTTTTTTTGTTCTTTTGTTTTGTTAATCCTTACATGAGGATAGTTTTTTCCATTGAGAGAGTCGAAGTTGGGGGGCGGGGGAAGAGGAGGAGAGAGAGAGAAACATCCATGTGAAGCTGGTTGCCTCCTACATGTGCCCTGACTCAGGGCTGGGAGCGAACCTGCAACCCAGGTATGTGCCTTTGACTGGAAATAGAACCTGAGACCGACCTTTCAGTGCTCAGGACGATGCTGTTACCACTGAGCAACATCGTTTAGGGCTCTTACGATGTTCTGTTCTCTAGCTCACTTTATTATAACACTACAGTGTATAACAGATGTAACATACAAAATATATGTTAATTGACTGTTATTCTTAAGGCTTCCCAGTCTGTTAGTAGGTAAAATTTTGGGAAGTCAAAATTTATATGCAGATTTTCAATTGCATGGGAATTGGTGCTCCTAACAACCCTGCATTGTTCAGGAGTTAACTGTATATGGAATGCAGTTATTTTGCCTAGAAACGCTCTGTTTTTCCTAGTGGGATTTGGATTTGGTTTTCAAAGAGTGCTAAAGTGCAAATATCATATATCAAATGTGTCCACATTTCTTTTTGAGTGTTATAATTTTATGTGAGTAAAAGTATTTTTATATCTTCCTTTGGCAGAAAAATATTTTGATATGAAAAAGAACCAGTGCAAAGAAGGTCTTGACATCTATAAGAAGTTCCTGACCAGGATGACAAGAATCTCAGAGTTTCTCAAAGTTGCAGAGGTAAACTGTCTTTAAGTGACTATATTTCTTACCTGCTTTTTTGTCTATAAGTGTATATTTAATTCAATACTGAACATTGACAGGTAATTTAAAATTTATTTAAAATTAGGTAGGTGGCACACAGTAGTGTCAGCGATTTTTATAGTTGGAATTAGTCATATATTTTAGAAGATTTATTGTTTTAAATATGGTAAAGACTATTCAATGATAGTGCTAAAGTCTCTTCAGTGAGACTTGTAACTGGAGCCACATTGTTCAAAATGTTTTGTTACCCTGCAGAAGTGAATTTAGTGTATTTATTGTTTTTCAGTTATTATAAAAACCATGAGTATGGGTAGTAGAATAATCTAATTTTGCAATCTAGTTAAGAAATAATTTTGTGAAATTGTCACAAAAAAGTTGTGGTAATGCTTACAGGCGTTATCTTGCTTGTACAGAGTCAGGTCTTAAAGTGCTTTTGTTGTTTTTCTTTACCCTCTCTCTACCTGTCACCACCAGAGATGTCTTACTAGGATAATTCTGGAAGATGGCTAGGCTATAGTTATATCAAAGTAGTTAAATTGGAACTAGCAAGTTGGTGATTTTAGCTCTATTTACCATAGTGATTTTATTCTGTAGCAGATGAATACAACAGGATGGTGAGACCTTTGAAAAAAAATGTGCTTTGTGGTGTTAATCAGCTATTTTATAAAGTTTACTGCAGTTTATTTTGATTTAAAGTATCTTTCAGAGAAATTAATGTTTTTCCCATTTTTGTAGGGCCAGTCACATTAAAAGCAGAAAATAAAAGTTTGTGCTATGATTCCAGTAAATTCTTTAAATACATTTTAATTTGTTAACTTTCCCTTTTGGCCTGTTACATCCTTTGTATATGATAGTTATAACTATTGACTTAAGTTTTCAGTCCTTGTTTACCTCCAGATCTGCTGGTCTTACTTTGAGATGGAATAGACCATCTGTTCCATATTATCTGAGAAATAAGAAAATTCTCCTGCCCTAAAATACTTTTTCATGATGCTGTCTTTGGGATTGTAATTTCATTATGAGATCTTAGTTCTTGGAGTAAAAAGGCACAAGTAACATTTTTAAATGTGTTTGAAAGGGACATATGTATTAGTTATTGATTAGCTATTAAGATCTCAGTTTGAATTATTTTGTCAACTTTTCTACTGATGTCATTCTGGGGCCTGCCCTTGAGAAGAGAGAATGATTAGAAAATGAAACATAAACCCAGGGAGGGAAAGAGTTTTTTAATTTGGGTACTAGAATAATAAATAGGAATCGTTTTTATCTTCTTTTGCTGGAAATTGTCTAGTGCTTGAACATCATGAAAGCCTGTTTGGGATTGCTTTGTGAAAATAATTATATCCTGGTTAGATACCAGTTTGCATTTGTATAAAACTGGCCTACTTGAGTGAACATAGGTTTTACAAAATTGTTCTCTATGGTGATTGCCTAGGAAAGCATATTTTACTGAGGAAGACAAAGTTATTGTCATCAGGTTTGTTTGTTTTTAACTCTTTTCATGCCGCAGGAAACTTGTTTGTAGTCAGCCTTCATTCTTGCCATGAGTTTTTATCATATAGCATCATGAAGTGATGGATTTTTCAGATTATGACAAGGTACAGGTGCTAAGAAGATACGGAGATGGTAATTTAATAGTCTTACTGAATTTCCAAAAACTCTGGTTTTCCTCCTCTTACAACTTTAGAGCCATCAAATAACATCTAAGTCCCTGGAAATAATGATATATTTGGAGATTAAATATTTTTCTGAAGTCTATCTAAAATAGTGTTCACAGAACTAGTCATAAATGTCATTTTCTAGTTGTTATTTATATAACATCTTTATTATAATTTTATCTATTACATACAATGTTGCTTCTTCTTACAGCAAGTTGGAATTGACAGAGGTGATATACCAGACCTTTCACAGGTAAGTATATTTTTATATCAGTTCACTGTCTGCTATGTATTGTTAGGTAGGTGTGAAAGGCACCAAGTGAATAATATTCAGCTCATGCTAACAAGGAAATCAGTGTGATTTTTCTTGACAGATTTTAATATTTTAATGTATTGATGATAATTATTCTAGCATGATCATATAGGGTGATCTATTCCCCTCTTATATTGGTGGAGCTAGCCACTGCTATATCATTCTTTTAGTTTATTCTTTTTAATCTCTTTCCTGTCATTATCAAAAGGAAGAATTGAACTTAGAGAATGGTATTTTTAAAACAAAATGTGCACTATTGATAGAGAATTTTTTCCCCCAGTTTGTTTCCTCTGATAGGATATAAGACAAACACCCAGTTTGTTTGTTTTCAAAGGATATTTCCTTTGCCCCACTTGAAGATAGATAATTATTTTATACAGGATTTATGTTTCCTGTTTTAAACCTTCTGCTTTGGCTATTTGACTCAGGTAGGAGTATTAAATAGAGATAAACCTCAAAACATGATTTGGAAGAAGAGAGCAGGCTTTGATAATCTGTTTGAGTCCCGGCTGTGCCACTAGCTTGCCTGTGATTTGGGGAAGTTACTCTCTTTGCTTCAGTTTCATCATCTCTAAAATGGAGATACTGTAATACCCACTTCATAAGGTAGTTGGGGCGATTAAATGAGTTAATACCTAAACACAGCTTTAAGCACTCATTGTTAGCTATTACATTGATTTTATCATCATAAAAAAAATATTTTAGGGCCTGGCCAGTGTGGTTCAGTGGTTGAGCATTGACCTATGAACCAGGAGGTAACCAGGATGTTTAATTCCTGGTCAGGGCATATGCCCAGGGTTCAGGCTCAATCCCCAGTAGAGGTAGCATGCAGGAGGCAGCTGATCCATGATTCTCTCTCATCATTGATGTTTCTCTCTCTCCCTCACCATTCCTCCCTCTGAAATCAATAAATATATATTTTTTTAATTACAGGAAAGAAACTTTAAACCTGCTTTGATCTTTTTTCTGACTTTTACTGTTTTTGTTTGTTTGTTTTTACTGAATATTAGGAATGAAATTACCTGGCATAAACTATCCTTGTAACATTTGTATCACCTCTCTCCTTAAGAGACTCTTTTACCTCATTTTAAATTGCTCTGGGACATCTTTTAAATAAAGGTCTTTTTGTATTTCTCTGTACCGAACTTGTTCTGTTTCATCCCTTTGATTTCCAGGCCAAGAGTACATAATAGATCTAGTTATGGGTTATATGTAAATAAAACACTCTGCATTTGAGATAAATTGGCATTATTCCTAAGATGTGAGAAAAATCATTGCTAGAACAATCTATATCTATCTATCTATCTATCTATCTATCTATCTATCTATCTATCTATCTATCTATATAAAAGGCTAATATGCTAAGTGTCCTTCCACCCGTCCGACTGGTCACTATGCTGTGCACTGATTACCAGAGGGCAGACGCTCAATGCAGGAGCTGCTGTGACGCACACTGGCCATTTACAGAGAAATGGCAGTGCGGACCTGGCACCGACAAAGCAACACTCAGCTTCCCCCAAGTGGGACACAGGCCCCGCCACCACCCTGGAGCAACAGCCCACAAAATCGCAGCTGATGCTACCGAGACCCCATGGCCAGCACAGAAATGGTGGCTGTGGATGCTGGGTAATGACGTAATGCAGCAACACCCGGCTTCCTCTCCCTAGCAGCTAGCCTCCTTGCAGTTTCTTCAGCTCAGGAATATGACTTGTTTTACAGCCAGGTGGAAACATTTCACACTAACCAAATGTCTGTGAAGCTTTTTCCTGTGCTTCATCTCAGTTGATCCTCACAGAAGTCCTGGGGTTGGTAGATAGACTCGATGGAATCCTATTTTTCTTTCATTATCTGTAAAATGGAGATTTAGAAAGCTTAGAAACTTAACCCTACTGAAAAAAAGTAAGAAATGGTGGACCTTGAAAATGACTTCAGGTTTTCTCACTGCGCAGAATATAGTCAAACACTGCTGCAGTTAAATACTTTACCTTTTGTTCTCCCTGTGTGATCTACAATAATAATCTGCTTCGGTTGATATTTACTGCTGTGTTGCTGATAATTACCTGAAAGAGAAGTTGGGGTGCTTCACTGGGCTGGAAAAAGTTTAGCTACATCAGAAAGCAAGTCTAATTAAGCAAGTTTATTCTAGATATATAAAAGTCTAAGTTGACTTCCTCATTCACGGTACATGTAAAGCTCTCGCTGGCACCAATCGGATGCGTGTGTTTCCATCTGTCATTGTCGATCGTGAATTTGGTTGACACTTCTATTATAGAGAAAGGGCGAATAGTAATATTAAAATATTTCAATTTCCTTTCAATGTGCACGAATTTGTGCACCAGGCCACTAGTATGTATATAAACTGATTTGGCAGTTTCAGATTCCCTGTTACGCCATTTGTCAAGTCACTTTCACCTATCTTTTGTTATAAAAATATAAGACCCAGGCCAGGCTGTCATATTTCTGTACTTTATCCATGGCATTGAAATTGAGTAGGATTCACCAGCTTCCTGACCCTCCTTCCCTCCCTCTTAATTAATGATTTCTGAATGATTCAGAAATTTTTCAAAAGTGAACTAAAACAAAGCTATTTGTACTTCAGGGAAGATAATGGTGGTTATTATACACAGGAATGGAAATTTGAGATTACTTTAAAAAAATAGCAAGATGTATGTAGAAGGGATTTTGGAAATAGTTTGTTGTTATTTATCTTAACCTGGTAGTTTAATATTTGTAAGCCTCAGCTTAAACCTTTCAGAAAAATGTTAACTGTAGTTTAAATGACCACAATTTTAGTTTAGGATTCTGTAGCATAGTAATTGCTTTCTAGGTTTTCAGGTCAGATATGCTTTAGACCAGGGGTGGGCAAACTTTTTGACTCAAGGGCCACAATGGGTTCTTAAACTGGACGGGAGGGCTGGAACAAAAGCATGGATGGAGTGTTTGTGTGAACTAATATAAATTCAAAGTAAACATCATTACATAAAAGGGTACGGTCTTTTTTTTCAATAGTTTTATTCATTTCAAACTGGCCGGATCCGGCCCGCGGGCCGTAGTTTGCCCAAGGCTGCTTTAGACTCTATGTTGGCTCCCACTATGTATTAGATATATGTTCTTGGATAAGTAACTTAATTTTCACTATTCAGGTCCTTTGTTTGTAAAGGGTATACTAGTAGTGTCTTCCTCATAGCAGTGAATTTATACAAAGTAGCTAGCACAGTGCCTGTTGTGTTATAGGATTTTTTAAAATTTTAACTACTGTCACCAACATTCTCATCATCTCTGATAATAACTCTTGGGATAGTGCTTTGCCTGCTGATTTTGCAAAGGTTTTGTTAGGGTGGGTGAGTTGCACATGTGTTCTCAATTCAACATAGATGTCAATGTTATAATACAATATTTTTGGTTTTAGTTGATTTTCTACTGTATCTGCTTAGTGCTAAGGTCTTTATATGTATAGCAAATAAAGGCTGAAGGAAATTGTTTAAGTTATAATTGTTAGAGAAATTAGCTAGTTTTGCCTCTTACAGCTATTGTTAGATCCCTGTTATCCAGAAACTTTATCTCAGTATTTAGGGTAATTAAATGCCACCGATGCATTTGCTTCACTTAGTAATAGTTTTTTCTCAGATCATTGAAAAGTTGCCCTTTTGAAAGTGATTAACTCTTTATATTAAGTTGAGATTTGCCATAGAGCCTGAGAGTTTAAAAGCTAGTTTTTAAAAAAAAAAAAAAAAAAATTGAGGTAAATATCTATATCAGTGAGGTTTGATAACTATAAACATTTGATAAAAATAAATTCTATCACCTCAATTCTTGTGTGCCTTTCCAGTTACTCTCTGCAAACCACTATTTAGATTTCTAATAATGTAATTTTATCAGATCTTGAATTTAATATAAATGGAATCATGCAAGTATTTATTCCTGTGTCTGGCTTCTTTTGTTCATCATTGTGTTTTGAGATCTGTCCATGTCATTGAAAGTACCATTAAATTATTCTTTATTGCTGCATATTTACCACAATTTTGTTTATGCATTTTCCAAATGATGGACTTTTGGATTATTTACAGTTTTTTACTATTTATAAATAAAGCTACTTAAATCATTCTTGAACAAGTCTTTTCTTGAGGAGAAACACTTTTGTATCTATTTTGGGTGAATAATTAGGAATGGAATTGGGTAATTAAGGTGGATGTATATTTGACTTTATAAAAAAATCCAGATCATTATTCACGGTGGATATACTTCTACCAGCATTATATGGGAGATGCACCAATATTTGATATTGCTAGTCCATTTAACTTCAGGCATTCTAGTTGGTAAAAAGTTGTATTTCATTGTGATTTTAATTTTTATTTCTTTGATGTTAGTCTTCAGTTTCATTTATCAATAATTATTCAAAAATTAATCAGAAAGTACTTATTAAGTACCAAGAACATGCTCAACAGTATGTCTAGCTTTTAGGAGTATGGTTCTCGTTTAATAAGTTAAATATTTTAAAAATTTAAGGGTCCTCTTAAATGTTTACATAATCTTAGTTTTCATATTTTTTATTATGTTTATTAATACCCTTTACTAGGGGTGTTAATTACTAGGTCATTCTTATCTATAATAATAAAAGTGTAATATGCTAATTAGACCAGATGTCCTTCCAGATGACTGGGTCTGCAAGGGAAGCCCAGGTCCCGGGTGCCAGAGGGAAGCTGGTGTCAGCAGCCGGGGGAAGGAAGGCCTACTCTTGCACAATTTTTGTGCATCGGGCCTCTAGTCTATAATAATAAAAGCGTAATGTGCTAATTGGACCAGACAGCCAAACAACCGTCTGGACAACCTTCCTGACTGAAGCCGGGGATGCAAGGGCCAAGGCAAGCCACTGCAGCTGTGAGAACCGAGCCCCTTGCATGAATTTTGTGCATCGGGCCTCTAGTATAACAATAATAATAGTGTCATTCTTAGGTAGCTAAAATTCCATTGTTAATTAGTTCATTATTTTTGTTTCCCTCCTATGTCAGATGATACTTGATTTATTTTGATCAATGGCCTGATCATCATGAAAGTCTTATTTCTATAATTTCAGGCCCCCAGTAGTCTTCTTGATGCTTTGGAACAACATTTAGCTTCCTTGGAAGGAAAGAAAATCAAAGATTCTACAGCTGCAAGCAGGTACATTATTCTTCAGAGGGCAAAGAGCAGGAGTGATGTTTCTGAGAGAGTCGATGAATCCAGCTCAAATTCTAAGTTATTTAATGTCTCTGTATCTTGATTTAATAACTTATAAAATTGGTTTAACAGTAGTATCAGCCTCATAGAATTGCTGTGAAGGGTTAAAATGGGTTAATACATGTAAATTCTTAGAATAGTTCCTGATCTTCAATAAATGTTAGCATCTGTTAAGGTGATGACAGTGACTACTTGGTGTAGAATTGTGTTCATAGTGTGAGGAGTTCTCTTAAAGATGATAATGCATTGATTTGTATGATGTTTTATAATTATAAATTGCCTTTTTTACAAATTTGATTAAACCTCACAATAGCTCTGTGAACTATGCTAGTAATAACTCTGGGCCTCAAACCTAGGATGTCTGACATCAGATTTTATCATCTTTCTCTAATGTCAGTTCACAAGGTTAATTATTGACATACTATATTTTAATCAGTCTGTTAGGCTGATTTCCAAGACAAAGACCAATTAACTTAGGAAATTGAAAGTAACACAGACCATCATACATCAGTCTTGTAACATGATTTCTGTGTTGGGTAGTGATTGAAGTAATGTTCATGCATTCTTACAAAGATTTCTTTTTAACAATACGAAAAAATTTTGTATGAAATTCAATGAGAACCTTCTTTTTAGACTTTTTTTTATTGTTTCAGAATTTGGTGTTTTTAGCAACAAAATTTAAGTATTTGTAAGGAAAATATTGTTACTGAATTTTAATAGTTTTTAATTCTAAGTATGCTCTCTGAATTTTCTAGTAGGCGTTTAGACGTATAAGCCCAAATTATAAGGCCCAGAGATTTGAGAAAGTAATGAAAAATAAAGCCAAGGAGACTGTAAATTTGTTGGGTTTCTTGCCTTGTCTGGTGGCTTAGTTGGTTGGAGAGTACACCAAAAAAGATTGTGGGTTTGATCTCTGGTCAGGACATGTGTGAGAGGCAACCAATTGATGTTTCTCTCTTACATTGATGTTTCTCTCTCTCTAATAAAATCAATAAAAACATATCTTCAGGTGAGGATTAAAAAAATTTGTTGGGTTTCTTGCATTTCTGTGACAAGTATATTACTCGCTCCTTTATTAAATTAATTTTACATAAAATTTAAATATTTTTGCCACTTTTGTGCTTTAGAAATTAATGATGCTTGGTTTGGGATAGAATGAAAATGAATAAAGGTCATTAGAGAAGAGTAGTTCTTCAGGTTAGCATTCTTTGCCACATGGGTTTATTTTATGTAGAATTAACATTTGGGAATTTAATGTTGGGGTTTATGGTATTGGTAAGGTGTTGATATAAGGGAAAGGAAGCAGCTTACTGAGAATCTGCTAGTGAGAGATGATGCATTGTGCATGACTAATATGCTTGAAAAGGAAATTGTAATTTAAAAGTGTAGCAGATAAAGTAGGTGCCAGATGGACTGGTGACTAGAATGAAATTGACCTTCCTTTGAGGTATCCTGTGGTCCTCTGGGAACTACATCTTTGGGTATTATAAAGGAAACATATCTAGACACATTATCACTGGTACTCATGTTTTACTGTTCCTGTAGTAGCACTGCAAAAACCCAGGCTATAAATTATCGGAGTTATTTCCTGTGAGAAACTCAGTATTTTTTATTCATCTGGGTTTTCTCAAGAGTATGTGAGCTCTTTCCTAATTGTATAGGTTCCCTTCCTTCGGGCTTGGAATACTATATTTTCATCAGTCTGCAATGTCTCACAGTTATTGAGAACCCTGTCCAAAATCCAACTCTTACTTTAAAAAGAGTGCATATGTGGCCCTAGCCAGTGTGGTCAGTGGTTAGAGCACCAGGTCATGCACCAAAGGATTGCAGGTTCTATTCCCAATCAATGGCTTGTGCCTGGGTTGCAGGTTCCATCCCTGGCCGTGGTCGGGGCATGTGTGCCTGTCTCTCTCACATTGTTTCTCTATATCTCTTTCCCCTACCCTCCCTCTCACTCTCTCTAAAAATTAGTGGAAAAAATATCCTCTGGTGAGGATTAACAACAATAACAATGACAAAAAGTGTGAATGTGTGTGTAAATCATCTAACTGCTAATACTTCTCTAGGTTACTGAGTAGAATATTTCATATGAAGTACTGGTTTTGACTTCAGAAGTTCATAATTATAGTGCCTCTTGGTTGCCAGATCATTTTATAACCAGGTTGTAATGTGAAATGTTGGGCAGAAAACCAAATTACCTTTGTCCAATTATTATAGGGCGACGACACTTTCTAACGCAGTCTCTTCCCTGGCAAGTACTGGCTTGTCTCTTACCAAAGTGGATGAAAGGGAAAAGCAGGCAGCATTAGAGGAAGAACAGGCTCGTTTAAAAGCTTTAAAGGTAGGTGTGTGCATTCTTTTTATTTGGAAAAACAAATACAGGTGTTCATAAAATAATTAGGATCTGTATAGAAACTAACAGTATTTAATATATAGTTGTCCATATGAGGTAAAACTCAGTACTTAGTCTAATTTTTCGTCCTGAAATTGGATGACTTAATAAACAGAATACCTTTTTGCTATCAGAACAAAATTAGAAAATACTTTTGTTTAGAGGACATACAAACAAATCTGCTTCTGGATTCCTTATGGTCATTACCTTTCTCAACAGGAACAGCGCCTAAAAGAACTTGCAAAGAAACCTCATACCTCTTTAACAACTGCAGCCTCTCCTGTGTCCACCTCAGCAGGGGGTATAATGACTGTACCAGTCATTGACCTGTTTTCTACCCCTAGTTCTTCTAACAGGTAAGTGGACAGGGTAAAGATTTCTATTGAATACTTAGGTTTAAAGACTTCTAATAGAAATTATGCAGAGCTTTTCAGGTTTAATTTAACATTTGTAATCATAAATTCACACAAAGGAGGTGCTGATAAGTGGTAGTATAGGTATAATAACTAAATATAAAGTGATACGAGTTTGTATTTTCCTATTTAGGAAATGCAAGATAGCTAAATTATAAATTTATAATAATTCGAATAGAGCAGATTATCTCTTGGCAAACATGTCATTGTTTACAAACACATTTATGAGGTGTCTAATGGTTCAAGACCCCTTATAACTCTTGGAGATGTGTGTGTAAGAGAGAAAGAGAGAGATGTATTTCAAAATATCCTTTCATTGGGTATTAAATGTCTTTTTCATATCCATTCCTTGGTGTTAAACTCAGTAATCTGGAGTATAGTAATAGTTTAGTTGCCTATTGAAGCCTACCAGATCAACATGAATAATCTTGTTACTTAATTTAAGCTACTTAATATTTCCAGGCAAATTAGAATAATTGGCTTTTTCAAATCTGTTCTGTCTTTTACTTCATAGTGGTTTAAAATAGAAGAGTGAAAGTCAGATTGTGGTTTGAATCCTGGCTCTGTTATTTCTTAATCTTTTTTTTTTTTTTTAAACCTCAGTTTCCTAATAAGATAATGTATGGTTTGGTATAGGTCAGTTTCTCAATATTAAGTAAGCATCAGAATCACCTGGAGGATTAATTAAACCACAGATTTCTTAGTCTCACCCTGAGTTTCTGATTTGTTGGTGTCGGTCGGGTGAGGACCAAGAATTTTCATTTTCAACAGGTTCCCAGATTTACACGTTTAGCTCCCTAAAGTCTCAGCTGTTTGGTGAATTTAGTTATGTGTTTTTCTTTCAGCTTTATTTTTTGTTTTGTTTTTGTATGCCATTTTCCTTAATTCCTAATAAAATGACATCGATCCCATTAAGTATTAAATTTTCCACTTGGGCACTTGAAAAGAAGTCTGTTTTAGGGGAAATGAATGGAAAAGAATATTGAATGTTTGAGGATGAAAAATATTTTTTCATCTAATTTGACTATGTTTTATTTCACTTAATTTACTCAGAAGTTTTCACCTTTTTTATAGTACTTGAGGACAAATCTTACAGCCTATTACAGAATGCTTATTATATATTCTAAATGTATTTGTACTTTTAACTTACCAATGTATAAAACTATTTTTTATATCCAAAAGACATTTCTTTAAAACAGTTAAGTTAAAAGTGATCTAAGCTGTGGTACACTTAATGCTTCAGTTCATGGAAATCCTAGGATTGTTTTTTGAGTTGTTATTCCTTAATTACATAAAAGTCTTGTGATAAAAAATATATAAGCATTCCTCTCTGGAGTTGTGTAATGGATGGCTCTGTTATAAGTTTATAGCATAGATGCATGTATAATTTTTCCCTGAATTATTGACATGTTTGGAGTATGAAGCAGTAGAGGTGAGGTTAATAGATATTTTACTTTGTGTAGGCTTTTTGATACTGCAAATGCAATTGAAATTCTTTAAAGATTAAAAGAAAAAAAAACACAACTTTTAAAAAAATTAAAATTACCATGATGTTTCATATTTTGAATCATGTCATTTAGGTTCATTTCAATAAGGAAATCAGTTATTTTACTGGGGAAGTTATTGATCTTTTCCTGAAGGATTATTATTACTTGAATCCTATGCAAACTGAAGATTTGGGTACTTGAATATTTTTCTAGGCCTTCTTAGAAATAATGCTGTTGTGTGAGGGATGTGCCGTTGTTATCTTACTGAAACTGTTCCTCCTTTTGAGATTTACATTATTGAGGTTTTCCCTCAGTTTTCTTTGTAATGTTCTTACTTACTTGGGAAAAGGAAGTGACTAATGTGGCAAAATTTACCTAATAAATCATCTTTTCAAAATATCTTCCTAGCTCATCAAAGCTACCAAATGATTTGCTTGATTTGCAGCAGCCAACTTTTCACCCACCTGGACTTTCTATGTCAGCTTCTTCTCAGGTAGCAAGTACATGGGGAGGTAAGCATTAATGAACTCTACTTAATATATTGTACAGGCATCTTCCCTCCCTATCCCTATTCTGTGGTATTTTACTTATTTGTATAGTTTAGCTTATACTTGACACATGAGAACTTAAAAAAATAAGAAAATGGCAATGAAGTTAGTTTGCCCTTTGCAGACATGTTTTTTAATTATAAATGTAATTTTAGAATTCATGTTCAATTAAATTATGAAATGAGGTTTAATGAAGATGAAGAGGAAGGACCAGGTGTATGTTTAAGTATAAAATTACTCTTTCATTGTTGACTTTATACTCCATAATCAGAAAATGTGTAATAGTTATTTTACCTTTGGTATAGAAAAAAATTTACTTGAAGGGGGAAAAAACTCATCTTGTGCAAGTATATGATAAAGTTCAAATAAAACTCAGATGGTGTTATCAGGCAATGAATGAACTATGTTCTGACCAGGAATGTCATGACAAACTTTATATACTACTTGTACTTAAAATATTGACTTAATTCAGACCTATACGATTTTGGTATTCAAAGATTTTCCTCCTAGTACCAACAGGAATGTTTTGCTACCTTGTAGTAGTTCTTTGATGACTATATCATGACCATGACTGTGGCATCTTTAAAGGAGTGAGCCTAGTCCATGTCAGATTTTAAGCAGTTTTGCTTAGACATTTAGTATACTTTCAAATCATTTCCTTTGGTAGGTTTTGATCCTTCTCTTTGTTTGTATATGTGTAAGTATTATTTTACAAATACTCAAAAAATATTTGGGAGGGAAAGGAGATATTCTGAGAGAGGGCACTGTCTAGGGCAGCGGTCGCCAACCTTTTAGACCTCACGGACCACATTAGTGGTCCATGGACCACCAGCTGGCAACTGCTGGTCTAGGGAACTATGGAGAATGGCAAACTTCCTTTAAAATTTATATGTGGCTCATATGTAAAATCTGAATTGATTGGCTCTCTCATATCAAAGATAAAGAACGTAGTGAGTTTTTATGACATGAATTAGACTTTTTTCATCTTTATTTTAATAATTTGAGTTTTAAGAACTTTTATGTTTTGTGTTTTTTTATAATTATTTCTTAAGGCTCTCTTTTGTATAATAGAACATAATCTATATAAAGGTAGATGTTTTCAAATATTTTTTTCAGTGCTATACCCCTAATATCTGATTTATAATAGGTGCTTTATAAATATTTGTTGAATGGCATTTTCTTTATTTCTAGACTGGGTTATTTCTGGTTCAAAATATTGGTCAGGGAACAACAGGAGTAGTGAAACACTAAAACATTAAATTTTTAGACTCATTTTGTGGGCCATAACTTAATTAAAAATTAGTGGTTTCTGAAGGCAAGTTTAAGTTAGCTAAATCTTGAAAACTAGGAGTAGTAGTTTCTAAAAATTATAAGCTAGTTTAAAGTCAATAAATATTTTAGATTTAGCTAAATGAACTGTAGATAGCTAATTCAGATTAAGAAAGGAGTTTCTTAAGATTCTAATTAGTCCTAGTTTTAGGATTTTTAATCTGCCAAAACTTATGTGCTTATATTTTGCTCATTATAAATTGCTTTAGAAAAGGGTAGCAGAAATAGCATGGCTGTTTAAGCAATTTCAGCTTGCTTCCCGTTAAAAAAAGAAAAAAAAGAGAAGTTTTTCTAAATTAGGCTGAGAAGTTGTCTTTCTCAATAGGTGAAAAATTTTACAGAAGGCTAATGAAAATTAATATAACATTTCAAAAAAGTTAATTCGGAAATTATTTTGTCTGGACACCATATACAATTAATTCTAACAATGACAAGTTAAAATTTTGCTTGAAATTATTTTGAGCTCATATGTGAAGGCAAATAAACTGTTGCTGTAGGAAAATAATTTTAACTAATTTCAGCCTGTAAGAATTATTCCACATCCTGTTATAGGAAACTAGAGGCCTGGTGCACAGATTTATGCACCAGTGGTCCCTCGGCCTGGCCTGTGGGATCAGGCTGAAACCGGCTCTCTGACATCCCGAGGGGTCCCGGATTGCAAGAGGGTGCAGGTCAGGCCGAGGGGCCCCATCAGTGTGCGATTGGGACCAGGTGAGATGCGGGAGGTTGGCCAGCTGGGGAGGGACTGTAGGAGGGCTCCAGGGCGTGACCAGCCCTACCTCAGTCCTGATCAGCCAGACCCCAGCAGCAAGCTAATCTACCAGTCGGAGCGTCTGCCCCCAGTGGTCAGTGCACATCATAGGTAGGGACTGTGCTGTTTGTCTGGCCCCTGGTAGTCAGTGCAGGTCATACATAGCAAGTGGTTGAGTGGCCTTAGCATATCATTAGCATATTGCGCTTTGATTGGTTGAACGGACGACCAGACACTTAGCATATTAGGCTTTTATTATATCGGATATCCATAGCCATCTATTTGTGAATAGAATATGTTGAAATACATTTAATTATGTTTTTTTCCGTTTTTGTTTATTTTGCCCTATGTACTATTTCCATCATAATTTTCCCCATATATTAACATTAGGTTTGCTGTGTACAAGTGAGACTGTTAAAAATGTTAAAAAATATATAAATTAAGTACAGTGGGAGCAAGTACAGAAGCAGAAAAGCTAATTATTACATATGAGGAAAAGATGATGATCTTTACTATGAACTCAACTTAAGAAGACTTAAATCTTGTCTTGACTTTCATATAAAGATATTTGGCTTCTGAGTTGGTGATAATTTCAGAGTTTTTACTTATGCATATTGGTAGTTTAATAAGAGTATTTTAAACAAAAATTTGAATGCTTCCTGACTTAGAATATTGTTCATCTCCATGCCATTCAGATTACGATTTTTTACTTTATTATTAAAACTAAAGTTAGACTGAGATAAATTAATAAATAAGTCATATATAAAAAGCTTTCATCATGATGATAAATCTTTAAAAGATTTTTGAAATTAACCATTGAACATTTGAAATATGTAACATTTTGCATTGTTTTGCTTTTATAACGTGACAAAACAAAGATAGTTATTTTTGATTCTAAAATCTCATTCTATGCTTCTCTTTTCATTTGCTAAAAATGGGTGTTAATAGATTTGGTATTTAATTTAGTTCTTATTCTTACCATAAACACCAGACATGATGTATATTCCCAATTACAGATAAGTTAGTGATACAGAGTTAAAGGGAAGTAAGGGTTCTATGCTTATGTGAAAGGCATTTAAGATTCCACTGAAAAGAGAGAGAACACAAGCTTTCCTGTTCCTCTCATTGCATTATTAATGAGCCTTTGATTTTTAAAGAAATGTTCTGGAGTCTAAACAAGCACTTGGTATTGAACACTAATATCTGAGAAGATTTACGTTTTCATCACTAAGAAAACTTGAATTACAACAGAAAAAATATACAATATTATCAACTCAGTACACTTTGTAGGTTTTAAGCAAGATTTCTAAATTTACTTCAGGCAAAATTACCATTCTGAAGTTTAATTTGCTTTAAGTCCCAACTAGCATGAAACAACATGTTATGAAAAAAATTAAATTTTCTGTGTATAAAGAGTATTTAGAATCTCAAGACTATAATATGACTGGACAGGTTCTATTTTAATCTTTTTTGGGGGGATTATTTTTCTATGACTCTAGAATAACAAAATTAAACTTCCAAATAAATAATGATTAAAAATAATGGAAAATTCATTTTTAAAATGTTTAAAGAACTTAGAGTAAAGTTGCCAGTCTAGTGAATAAAATTTAAGTTGGAAATTAGCAGGAACATGATTTTTTGTTTTGTTTTAATGAATGTTTTTATTATTTGTATTATAGTGTCTTTCCATTCATTAACATCATATAGAGTACCTGTCGTGTTTTGTAAAGTAGATAAGAACTGGTTTTTCTAATTGTCTGATTGACCTAAATACAGATGCACTTACACATATCTGCATATTCTTCTTGAGAATGTTTTGTATAATAGAAAATGATTGATATTATGTGCTTAGGCAAAACACTATCAATCAGTAGAATAGCAGATAACTAATAGTGACCTTTCCCGAACATGTTTTTTCTCATAGACGGGTGGATCTGTTCTAAAATTGTGTGTTCTTTTTTTGAATGACTTCTCTCATGGCTTTTTTTTGCATAGAAATCTAGAGAGGTTCTTTGTTGCTTATTGTCCAACAAAGTATAATGTACTATAAAAAGTGCATGTTTAAAAATAGCACAGTCAACTGAACCAATCAACTCTAAATTTAAATGGGCTTCTTATAAGGAGTTAGAGGTCATCATTACATTTTTATTTTAGTACAAAAAATACAACATATCTATTTTCTACCTTTTATTTCTGAATTATTTTTTCTGAATCTTTTCCCTCATTCCATATATCCTTTCTCTGCTACTGTAGATGCTATTGATGATGCCATTCCAAACTTAATATGGGAACTATGTTAACATGATTCATCTGAGTTTGCATAGTACACCAGTGAATTTTGATACCTTTGTAAGGACTTGACTTTTGGTTGTGAATTGATGTTCCATATTAATGCATAATTTCTAGAAAGGTCCTTAAATGATACAAAAATTTAAAACTGTTTTTAAAGATTTATGACATTTAAGCCAATGACTTCAACATTTTCTTTATATTTTTCTTTTGTAAACAGTTGTGGGGTTTATGGAGCACTTGCCTTGAATTTATTGACTTTAAGGAAAGTATGCATATATCATAGTGAATGAGCAGGTCTTAGGCCATTGCTGCCTTCTTGTTCCATCATACAGCCTTAGAATAAAATACAGTGCTTGATACTCTTTAGGTACCACAGTCTTTTTCATTGAGGGTCACAAACTAGAATAGACGACAGGTTGTTGTTTTCTCATTTTTTTTATTGTGTTGTAATAGAAAAAGTTATGATACTATATTTTTGCTATTCTTTGTTTTTTCCTCACTCTGTTTACTTAAGGTAGGATAAATGGCTTTCTATCATTACAATGATGATTATTTTGAGTAAGGTATAGGTATAGTAAATACCTGATTCTAAAACAACTTTACATATAGAATTTGATAATAGTATGTATATACTAATATTCTAGTAGGGAGCAATACCTTTGTTATTTCTTCAATAACAAATAACAATACCTTTCTTTATTTTTAAAGCCAAATCTTGAAAACTCTTAGCTTGGCCTTCAAAGCTGTTCACAGACTACTAAATGGCCAGTCTTTAGCCTCTGTTTCTAATTTTCTTAAAATCCTTTTCCCCATCATTGGATCTTTTCTTCATCTTTATTTTCTTATTTCCTACCTCTGAACTTATACAAGAGTTATTAATTTTTTGAGTAAACATAGCTTTGCCACCAGTCAATACATGTCCCACCTAGAGTGGGGAACATGATGTAAGATGGATGGCCATTTTACAGAAGCATTTTGTTTATTATTCCTTTTTAACTACCTGATGGTGGCTTCCTAATGCTGGAAAGCAGATCTATTCTTAATTTGCTACTATTAGTGGACACATAAATGTTTTGGGTTTTTCTTTTTTTCTGAGGATTCAATTTAAAATATGTTAAAATGCAGTTCTTCCTTGGTGATTAGGTGTTTTTGCATGTGAGGTTAATAAGCAGTAATATAGCCACTACTTTTCACTTTGCATCTTTTGACTAATTACAATACTAATTAATTTACTTCCTTTCTTCATTTTGTTGTAATGCACTTGGACTACACAGATCCTTTCTCTGCTACTGTAGATGCTGTTGATGATGCCATTCCAAACTTAAATCCTTTCATCACAAGTAGTGGTGATGTTTACCTTCCCATTCCTGCAGATGTACCCACTTTTACTACTAGGACACCTACTCATGAAATGTTTGTTGGTAAAGTACCATTTAACCTTTCTTTCCAGTTAATGTTTATACTGCCTTTTTTTTTTTTTTTTTTTTTTTTTTTTTTTTTTTTTTTTTTACCTATCCATTAAGTATTTTTGAAAGCATTGCAATAATTACTTTGAATTTTAATATCGAATTTGAAAATAACAATAGCTATAATGGAGTGAGGTTTTTAAATTGATACTAGTATTCTTGATTTTATTTAATGCAAGTTTTTAGGAAGGAAAAGTTCCTTTAAAGTTAGACTTTTTAAAGTGTTTTGTTCTCTCTTATGTTGCAATACTCAGGCTGTCTAGCATCACACGCTGCATTCTGTCTATTAGTATTAGTTTAGAGAGTTGGTTATTTGGAGAGCTGTTTGAAGAGTAGTATCTCTTAAGCTTACATACATGTTCATGTGTGCTTAGATTTTTCCTCTGTACTTGGGAGATAGGCATGTTATATTAGGAGCTGTCTTAGTCTTCCTCCCCCACTTTTTGAACTGTGAATAGTACAATTTTAAATTGTCAAAAATCTATGCATGCCTTTAAGTGTCTCATTTTATTGTTAGCCTTGAGATAAATGAAAAGTGGAGACTGTAAAGCAATTGACTGAGTGACCTTTAATTGCAGTATGAAAATCCATTAAAAGTCAAAATTTCACACCAAAATTGTACAAGAAGAGTAAGTTTTTAAGTATATACAAAACCAAAATGTTTTTGAATCCTGCTAAAAAGATGCTAATTCTGCCTTAAAAGTTGGTGAAACTGCTTTTATACACTTCAACAAAATAGCTTAAGGTGACACCAATTTAAATTTTTGATTAAAGCAACATGCAGAAAGTCATCTATGTACCTATACTCTGAATACTTTGTTAGATATATCTGAAAGAGAGGGAGGAAGGAAGGTGACTAGAAAGCAATAGTTGGGGAATTGAGAATGTTCCAGTGCAGGTGCTCTGGTTATATATATATAGTCAGATAACTCCAACCCATAATTATTGATTGCAATAATTCCTTTGTGTCACTGTAATGCATCAAAAATTATATAAAAAGTGGTTGAAACTAAATTTCACATTTTGTTATTCTTCAGAAAATTTGTCAAATGGAGTACCTTATTTGCTTGATAATAGGGGTTACTAGAATTATCTTTGGAGTATTTTTATTTTATTTTTTTCTTACAAGTTTATATTTTCTCTGTTTACTATGTATGAACAAGTATATGTTTAGTAAATATGGCTGTTTGTGTCTTTTTAGTCAGTTTTCTTAATTTGAGATATAAAACAAATATGTCTTTGCTTTGGGGCCATGTGCTAGTTTCATATTTTAGGTTAGAACAGTGCATGGGCTTCAGACTGTAACATCTGCTTGCACCGAAGAGGGACAGAATGGAGGGAAGTAGCCTTAAGTTAAAGGTCCTGGCTATTTCACATTTAAACAGAAACAGAATAAAAAAATAAATAAAGCCATTGTTAAAGTGTTACTTAGTTATTATTTTGGCTCTTCAAGGAAAGTCTGTAACAAGTTTGAGGCCTGTGGATTGACATAAGAGGAAGACTAGAAAGCAAAGCAGATTAATAAGGTGATGGCCATATAGTCCAAGATTAGTAGGTACATCGTATCCTATATAATAAAAGGCTAATATGAAATCGACCAAATGGCGGAACAACTGGTTGCTATGACGTGCACTGACCACCATGGGGCAGATGCTCAACACAGGAGCTGCCCCCTGGTGGTCAGTGTGCCAGAAGCCAGGCTCATGGCTGGCGAGCGCAGCGGCGGTGGCAGGAGCCTCTTTCGCCTGTGCTGCAGCATTAAGGATGTCCAACTGCCAGCTTAGGCCTGCTCCCCACATTGAGCGGGCCTAAGCTGTCGGGCAGAGGGACCCCTTGCCCCCAAGTGCATGAATTTCGTGCACCGGGCCTCTAGTTTAAAAATAACAATCATAAAATTGGTGAATTCAGAGTTTTCAAAGACCTCAAGAGAATATTTGGCCTAGCTCTCAACTCTCATACTGGTAAGGGAATGTTATTACCATTTTATGGATGGATCACCTGAGTGCCAGAAAAGTTAAATGCACCAAGATAACTTAGCTATTGGGAGCAAATCCTGAAGCAGGAGACCTGCAGCATTGCTCTGCAGTGCTCTTTCTCTTATGGAAGTACTGACTTACATCCTTATATTCTCTTTCTGAGAGCAAATAGTTCAAATGAATGTTAAAGTATACTTTATTTAAAAATCTGCTAAGTTTTGTCAGAGAAAAAATGTATTTAAAAAAAAAATGAAAATGAGCACAGAAGGGGGAACTAACCATTAGGCATTAGTCCAGAACAAGGGTCAACAAACTTATTCTTAAAATCTCAGATTGTAGCCCTAGCCAGTTTGTGTTCAGTGGTTAGAGCATTGGCCCACGGACTGAAGGGTCCAGGGTTCAATTCCGGTCAAGAGCACATACCTTGGTTGCAGACTCCATCCCTGGTCCTGGCCAGGGCCCTTGTGGGAGGCAAGTGATCAGTGTTTCTCTCTGTTTCTATATCTCTCTCCTTCCCTTCCACTCTCTCTAAAAATCAATGGAAAAATGTCCACGGGTGAGGATTTTTTTAAAAAAAAGTCAGATTGTAAATATTTTTGGCTGGTGAGCCAAATCATTGTCATAGCTACTCAACTGTGACTTAATAGTCTGAAAGTGACCATAGAAAATACATAAACATATGAGTTTGGCTGTGTTCCAAAACTTTATTTACAAAGATGTAGTCTGTTGATGCCTGTCCTAGAAGAGGCCTTTTAAAAAGATGACTTAAAACCTAAAAATTTCTGAGAAGTAAGTTATGTAATAAAAAATTCCAAGAGTTTCTTTTATTCAGAGTAAGAACATGAAAGGACCACCCAAGGTGTGTCATTCCTAGAGCTGCATTGCCTAATTAGCTACTGACCACATTTGTCATTTAAACTTTAATTACTTAAAACTAAATGTTGCCCTAACTGGTTTGGCTCAGTGGATAGAGCATCGGCCTGCGAACTGAAGGGTCCCAGGTTCGATTCTGGTCAAGGACATATACCTTGGTTGTGGGCACATCCCCAGTAGGGGGTGTGCAGGAGGCAGCTGAATTGATGTTTCTCTCTCATCAATGTTTCTAACTCTCTATCCCTTTCCCTTTCTCTCTGTAAAAAATCAATAAAATATATTTTTTTAAAAACTAAACATTAAATAAAATTAATTTTACTTTGTAAGTTATAGCCACATTTTTTTATTGTTCAGTGGGATGTGTGACTAGTGTCTACCATATTGTACAGGACAAAATTATAGAACATTTCTGTTATTAGAAAGTTCTGTTGGCTAGTTCTGCTCTAGAACAGTGGCAAGCAAACTTTTTGTATAGAGAGCCAGATAGTAAATACTTTAGTCTTTATAGGATACTTAAAATCTCAGTTGTATATTCTTCTTCTTTTTTCTTTTTCTTTTGTTTTGTATCTTTTTCTTTCCTGTCATTTTTTAAAATAACAAACGTTTAAGAATTAAAAACTATTTTTAGCTCACATGGGCTTGTAAACATAGGCCACAGCCTGTAGTTTGCCAGCCCCTGCCCTGTAGGATAGAGACCAACCCAGAAAAATCAGAGAACAGCTTCACAATACCCTCCAGCCCTTCTAGAGGAAGACAACGATCTGAGGTGATGCGTAGGCTACTAGGTGGCTTTTCCTTATTAAAAGAATACTGAATTATAAGTCAAGGCGAGTGGTTTGTCCCAGCTATGCCATGTCCATGACCTTGTCTAGTCTAGATTTGCTTCCTCACATAAAAGAGGACATTAGAAGACAGGTTAATATTAGCTAAAAGGTCAATTGCTTCATATTTTTAAAATCTAAACAGATGCAGTGTTGGTTATTTTAAAAAATTGTTGTGAATATAATATGTATTTTGTTGATTTTTAATCACTCCATTCTACTTTTATCTGTTCCTCCTCTGTGCTTCTCCCAAATCCCACCCCAACTCCTCGGCCCTGTCCCCACCCTCATATGCCTTGTCAGATTCTTTTTCTGGTGCTCAAGCTCATCTTAATACTGCCCTTACGTGCCATGACCCTTCTATTGTAGCTGGTTTATTTAGAAGTAGGTAATGGTGTCTCTAAAATTCATCAATTTGTATAAAAGGGATTTTCTTTTGTTGTTTTTCTTAAAATGAATCTTTAAAATATTTGAAGAAAAATACTTTTTTGCTTTTAAAGAACAGATTAATTTTTGCCAAATTTTGTTTCTTTAATTAAACACATTAATTAAACGATTTTTTTGTGTGCATAGGAGTTGGTTATCTTAGTTAAGTTGGCATTAAAAAGTAGGTTTGGCACAACTAAAGAATTGAAGTTTTTGACTGGCAATAAGAATTGGACCTGTTTAAAAGTATTTTAAAATGACATATATGAGGGCATTCGATGGAAAGAGAATATGTTTGGAATTCAGTGAATTTAGTTTTGGATTTCAGTTCTCCCTAACCTGTGTGACTTTAAGCAAGGATTTAAGCTTTCTATACTTAGGAAAATTGGGATGTGTCTTGTAGTATTGCTGTAGGGTTTACATATATTACTGTGTAATATCCAGCACTATTCCTGGCACATAGAATTATTATTAAAATTACTATTAAAATCCATCGTATGTATGTAGATCATTTCGTATTTGGAATGTACTTTTTACCTAATTATTTAATCATCAGGTACAATTTTGAGCACTGGTTATTTTTGCATTGCTTTTAGGTTTTAAAATTGCTAAGGGTTGTTCATTCTTTTGGCAAGCAGTTGCTGTGAAAAGCTCAAGAAGTTCATAAATCTTGAATAGTCCTGCTGAACAGAGATATTTAATTACTATAGCTATAATAATTTATTTTTCTACCTGCTGGTTTATGTAAGATGAGATACTGGTTTATATAAGATTAGGATAAACTGAAAACTCCTACTAGATTCTAGAATCAAACAAATTGGGATTTGAGTCTTGGTTCCACCACTTATAAAATCTTTGTCTTGGGTAAGTTGTAAAATCTCTGTTTCCTAATCGGTAAAATGAGGATGATAATAGTAACTATTATAGGTTTATTATGAGTTTTAAGTAATAAATACCCTGTTTATGGTGTATTAATAAAATAGCAGTTACTTTCACCAAAAAAAAAAAAGAAAGAGGCCTCATTTATTACAGAACTATCACCAAAACTCATTAACAACCCAGCCAATTTTTCTTAAAGGTGTTAAGAATGTTTTCCTGTCTCAAAAGATTGTTCACCTTTTACCTTTTAGTTAATATATTATTGCCCTCCTAAGATTTGCCCTGCATGGCAGTGGTTTCTAAATGTACATCTACAAAGTGGTGATGGTTGGTGACAGTGTTTCACTGGGCCTTGGTGAAATCAGAGTAGCCAGTTCAATGTAGTGATTATTCCATAAAATTTTCCTTAACTCAGAGTCTTAGTTCATCTCTTATTTTTTTGTCCCTAAAATTTCCTATTGAAATGATAATATAAATTTCGTACCTTTGTTTTAAGTCACTTTTAAAAATTAAAGGTTGGCAATCCTTGACAGTCTCCCAAAAAGTAACCCAGGGACAAAAGGCCATTAAGTTCATAATGAGCATTGAAATATCACAGAACTCTTACCTTGAAGGTATGTATGTGTATTATCAGCCTTTATAAATTAATTAAAAAAACTGTTATTTTGAAAATATGCTGTTGCTTCCCTGGTAGTGAATCAGCTAGTATAACTTATTAAACATTTCATTTTTACCTGTTTTCTATGTCTATGTAGAGGTACTAGTTCTGGATTACTTTATATACTTTCAAACCTTTTATACTTTTAGGTAATAATAATGTGATTTCACAGATTGGTCCCCCTACGAACCTCAGAAAGTGCTCCTCTCTTTACAGAAAGTAATAAAATTGTTTTTGTATTTCTATAAAAGATAAGCTTATCTCTAATATCAACCAATTTCAGAAAGTTGGGAGAAAATTTGATATCCTTACTGTCCTAGTTATAAATTATTGTTCCATGTATTTTCTAATGCTTAGTGACATCATAGCCAAGATATTGTTTCCAGAATGATTTAAAGAACAATATGTGTATTTCTTGCAGTGTAATGATACCCTTGACATATAATTAAGCATGATAGATTTTTGTGTTTCTTGAGTAGATACATTGATTAATTTTGTAAGGAGAAGAGCCCATGCTATCACATTTCGTACCGCTCAGGAGTTTTCTCGTGTTTCGCGCGCCATCTGTTAAGGACCGACCGCTCACGAATGTTCTCGTTTTTCACGCCCATGGAAAAAGGAGCAAATCTAGATACTTATGTAAATTTTGTTTGGTCCCTCTTCATAGAGGAAAATGTGTTACGCAGTACCATACGTTTAAAAAGTACTAGGAACTTTAATTGTTTAATTGTTTTTGTAAATAAAAATGTTATAATTATTGAAAAACAATACCTAAAGTGCATTATAATGATTTAAATAACGTACAGTTTGCCCAAAAACGTGCGGTCCCTGGCGTATGTCTTAGAGATTTCTATGCGGTACGCAATGTGTTAAGACCAGTATTTTTGGTACAACATCATATTGTAATTCTTTGTATCTTGGTGTAGTGTACATTAAGAACTCAAAGTGAGATTCTGACAGACTGTAAGTCCTTCAGCAGAAAGTTGAAAGAGGAAGAAAGAGAGCCTATGTTTAGGACTCAAGTTTAACTTCTCCCTAATAATATAGTTGTTAATCTTCTAATATCAGATTTTCTTTTTATTCTTTTTTTTTTTTTTTTACATTCTGGGTTTATAGAATTTAGAGATGGAAGATAACATAGGAGCCATTTATTACAGCCTTCAACAAACAGAAAGAATTCCTTCTTTGTGATCTTTGCTAGACCAATCTCTATTTGGATATATACTCGGTGATTTCAAAGCTCCCTAAATCATGTGATAGCCCTAATCATTTTAGATTATTTTAATTCTTCTCAGCCCCTAGAAATTCAGAACCTTACCTCACAGAAATACAACCTCACACAATTGAAAACCTTACATTAGTTACCTCAGTGGAGTATGGTTTCAGAGGCATGAACTGGGTGTTGATTTAATAACACTAGAATCAGCGTAAAACACAAGAAAGAAGATTTCCTATTTATGTTCTGGTATTTTAGACCAGAGTTAGGTAAATTAGCATGTTTGATTGTATATATTGTCAGCCCCACTGTTGGAAGCAATAAGTTGAAGTTAGAGAGTGGTGGGAGTTAAGGATGATCTGTTTGTTTGTTTTTTAATTTTTTTGTATGTTTTTCTTGGGTGGAGGGTGATATTAGAAAGGCATCTTGACAGGAGGGAGACATAAGGATTAGTGGGTTGTAACTTTCAGAATCTTGTCACTGTCATGGAAGGTAAATTGGTAGAGGAAAAACAACTCTTGATACTAAGTACATTCATCTATTTTTAAAGCAACATACTACATATTTCATTCCCAAGTGAGCCCTTACACTGTGTATGTTTTAGATGTGTTTAGTTTTTTTTTAACTGTTATCAACATTAAGGTAAAAAATAAGCAAAGATTTTTTTTTCCTATAATGAAACATACTGATAGTTCAACTTCAGTTGCTCTTATGTTAGTTTTCTTTGACAGTGGGATGATTTTGTTATGGAAAATGTAATCACTACAAAAAAGATGTGGGATGTGGTAGTGTAGGAAGCATTCTGCTTGCAGGGTTGGCTTTGTTTTTGCTGTGGGAAATTACTGCTTTTTCCGTTCTATTGTTATTATTAAAGAGCTATAAATACAGACTTATTAAAGAATTGAGCATTTTGTATTTTGTTTTTCTTAGGATTCACTTCTTCTCCAGGTGCACAGCCACATCCTTCAGCTGGCCTTAATGTTGACTTTGAATCTGTGTTTGGAAATAAATCTACCAACGTTATTGTAGATTCTGGGGGTAAGAAAAAATTATTTTATTAGCATTACTATAATGCTCTAATTAGGTTCTGTGTAAGGACAGATAATGCTCCTATTAACATGTGTAAAAAGATTAAATTGCAGTAGTCAAAGAAGTTGTTCCTCCCCCTCCAACCACTAGATGAGAGCTTCACGGGACTATTAACTGTTACTCTTTCCTAGTGGCATTTTTTACTCTGGGAAGATTTTGTTTCTCCTAGAGCTAAATAGATGCAGAAAAAGAGATTTTGCTCAGATGAGAGTGCTGAGATGATAATGGCTGTGTAGATTACTCATCGTTTTTACCTTTACTGAAAGGAAATTGGCTTTTTTGAAAACAAGGAAAATGTAACCTGGGGTACTTATTGAGATAGTATATGTATAAATAGCTAGACTTTATTAAATATCAGAGTTGTGGGTATAAGGGCATTGTATTGTTTTGAGAATGATCCTTTACTATAAATCTGTAGAGCCAGGTTTCTACTTAATTATTTCCATTTAATATCTTGTTAATTGGAAATTTATAAAATTGACATTTCTATTCTTAACATGGGACAACCTTTGATTTTGGTTAGTAGTTAAATTCAAGCCATTTAAAGAAATATATTGACATTGGTCTTAATTTAATAATATACAATTATTTCTCATCCAAAAAGAAAGAAGCAAGTAGATGTAGAATTTATTTTTTTCCATACACTAGTAGGGTTACAATTATATTTGTTGATACATTTGACATTTTCCTTTTGAGTTTCTCTTGCTGGGAAAAGAGATTCAGAAAAGAGACCAATTGTTTATATTTTGTAAACCACCATCTTTTAATTAAATTTATTGGGGTGACATTGGTTAATAAAATTATATAGGTTTCAGGTGTATAATTCTGTAATATATCATGTATATATTTTATTATGTGTTCACTACCCCAAATCAAGTCTCTTTCAATCACCATTTATCCCCCCTATGTACTAGTAAAGCACCATTTAAAAAAAATATTTTTTAATTGATTTTAGAGAGGCAGGGAGAGGAAAAGAGAGACAGAAACATCGGTGATGAGAGGGAATCATTGATTGGCTGCCTCCTGCACGCTCCCTGCTGGGGATTGGGCCCTTGTGCCGTTGACTGGAATCGAACCCAGGACCCTTGAGTCCACAGGCCAACACTCTATCCACTGAGCCAAACCAGCCAGGGCTAAAACACCATTTTTAACCCCTAGAGTGCCTGGGAGCGCGATCGCGCTCCTCCTGTCTTTCGCCAAAAGTGCCGGGAGCGCTACCGCGCTCCTCCTGCAGTGTCCAGTTAGTTCTAAGTCTGCTTTTATTAGTGATGATGATATTGCTAAATATGTCAATTCTTGCTGTGAAGATGACGATTTTGTGGAAGATATTGAATATGTAACTTCATTTACTTGGGATTCATAATTTTTTTCTTAAACTGCTGTAAAATCAGCAAAAATGCCTTGGCAATTTTAGCATAATTCCTAGGATATTGGTTGGCACTCAAAGGGTTAATGCTTCCTTTTTTCTTTTTTTTTTCCCCCCAGATTCTCTGGTATTCCTAGATTGAGCTGTTTACTAGTAGTGCTTTAGGGGTTGGTTTGATTGGATTATTTTTTACTTTCTACCCTTCGGTAGAGAACCATAAGGGATTTTATTTTCATTTCTAAGCAATGTCCTAGTTTAGTAGATAGTTTTATGCAGTTGGAGTATACTTTAGCAATTTCTCAGGTATAATTTAGGTTAGCTGGTTTTAGAAAGACCCAAAATTATTTATTTTGACTAGCTTCTAATGTACTATTTTACATACACCTTATATTCTCCATTTGAAGAGTATAAAAAGGTCTGTAAAATATTATTTCTTAAAATATTATTTCTTAAACTTTTCTTGCCCTAACCGGTTTGGCTCAGTGGATAGAGCGTCGGCCTGCGGACTGAAGGGTCAAGGGCATATACCTTGATTGCGGGCACATCCCTAGTAGGAGGCAACTGACTGATGTTTCTCTCTCATCAAAGTTTCTAGCTCTCTCTCCCTCTTCCTTCCTCTCTGTAAAAAAAAACAACAATAAAATATATTTAAAAGAAAAAAAAAGAAACGTTTCTCAAAGTTTCCAGAGATGTATTTTTTTTTTACCTGTATTGCTTCAGGTATAAGTGAGTCTTAAGAAAATGTTGGGTAAGGGAGAGAATTGTATTTCATTCCTTTCTCTTTTACAACTTTGGAATAAGTTTACTTGAGTGCTTTCTTCATTCCCTTTAACCTAACTGTAATATTGTCTTGAAATAAGACATTATTTCTGTCAAAGCAAATATAGCCTTCTCAATCAGTTCACTTAAGTGGTGAATTTCTTCTTTTTCCATTTAAGAATATACTTAGTACCCATTTTTTGGAGGACTTTCCTGGTAAACAAACAATGAGAAAAGGCAGAGACCTCCTTTAGAAAGCTGTAGCACCAGAAAGTTCCTTACAAATCCTATTTCGTCTGTTTGTAACTTTAAGGCTTTGATGAACTAGGTGGACTTCTCAAACCAACAGTGGCCTCTCAGAACCAGAGTCTTCCTGTTTCCAAACTTCCACCTAACAAGCTGGTATCTGATGACTTGGATTCATCCTTAGCTAATCTTGTGGGCAGTAAGTATTCTTTGGATTCCCTAACCTTCTTTAAAATAAGTTGTTTTATTTATTTATCTTTTAAAAGTAGTTTTTAACTAATTTCTTTTTCCCCCCTGTCCTAGATCTTGGCATTGGCAATGGAACCACTAAGAAGTGAGTTTTTGTTTGTATTCTTTCCCATATGCCACTTAGAGGTGGATTTGGCTTTCATCTTGAAAGTGTGTGTAGAGATGTCATTTGCTTTTTAAATGATCTGTTCAATCTAAATAGATAGTAAACAAACTTCATGATAACAGAACTTAATATTGTCATTTATCTTTATTTAAAGTGATGTAAACTGGAGTCAGCCAGGTGAAAAGAAGTTAACTGGAGGATCTAACTGGCAACCAAAAGTTGCGCCAACAACTGCTTGGAATGCTGCAACAGTGGTGAGTGAAAAGAACTTACGATATACTAACACTAATAATTTAGGTAAAGAATGTTTTTAAAGTGATGGACATAAATGGAAAGATTGTTATTATTGAGTTTTAGAAGTATAAGTAATTTGTATTTAAGGAGGCTTAGTTGACTATATTTGCAGCTACATTTAAAAATATTTTTTATTTTTTAAAAGTATATTTTTTATTGATTTCAGAGAGGAAGGGAGAGGGAGAGAGAGATAGAAACATCAATGATGAGAGAGAATCATTGAATGGATGCTTCCTGCATGCCCCAAATTGCAGATCGAACCTGCAACCTGGGCATGTGCCCTGACAGGGAATTGAACTGTGACCTCCTGGTTCATAGGTCGGCGCTTAACTATTGAGCCATATGACCAGGTGCAGGTACATTTTAATAGCTAACATTTATTTAAAGGTTACTTGTGTCAAGCGTATTCTAATAAATCTATATGGTTTTATTTTCTGTAATCCTCAAATTAAACTTAAATGGTAGCAACTGTTATTGTCCCCATTTTACAAATGAGGAAATGGAGACACAAAGTTAAGTACTTATGTCCAGGATCACAGAATTCTTAAATGATTAGATGGGTGTTTAGAACCCAGATAGCCTAATCCCAAAACATATGCCCTTAATCACTACCCTCTACCACTGGTTCCAAATTTATTATTCATTTATCTAGAACAGTGATGGCGAACCTTTTGATCTTGGCGTGTCAGCATTTTGAAAAACCCTAACTTAACTCTGGTGCCGTGTCACATATAGAAATTTTTTGATATTTTCAACCATAGTAAAACAAAGATTTATATTTTTGATATTTATTTTATATATTTAAATGCCATTTAACAAAGAAAAATCAACCAAAAAAATGAGTTCACGTGTCACCTCTGACACACGTGTCGTAGGTTTGCCATCACTGATCTAGAACATAAAATTTTTACTTTTTTTCTGATCTTACCATTGGTAAAGAAAGTATATTTGCTTGGCTTTTACTAATATTGTCATATAATGCATACAGTTGATTCTATTTGCTGCACTTATGTTCTTGAAGTCACCCGAACATGCTAGGTTCACACACACATACATATTTGCCCAACAATGGTTCAGTGTTTACTAATTCAGTCTTAGGGTAACTTTAAGAACACAAGTACAGCAAAACAACTGTTGACAATAGAGAATCAACTGTGTGTGGGTATAATCATGGACGTGCGCACACACCCACACAGACACACGCACACACACATCTTACCTAGATTACCATAAATCCTAAAAAAAACTTGTTCTGGTAGATTTTATATTTTTTATTTTACAAAAGAGAAAATGAGGTTTAGAAGTATTACTTGACTTGTCTGAAGCAACTCCAGTAACAGGTGCCAGAGTTGAAATTCTAGTTCTGTCAACTGGCCCCAAAGTCAGAGCTTCTTGCTTCTCACTACTGCACTGTTCCCTTCCTTCTCCATCCTCTCATCATCTTTATATTAGAGCTGAAATCTGGCTGAGTCTCTCTTGTTCAACTTCAGCTGGTAACAAATGCCCAGGGAGACAAATTGTTCACCATTCTACATGTCTATAAATGACCTTAAATGACCTCAAAAGCATTTACAAGCATTGATTTTCAGATTACAAATACATTTTAGCAAGTAGATAAATTTGCAAATACAAAATCCATGAATAATGAAGATTAATTGTATATGTTAATTATCATATAGTTATGAAGAAGTTCTGTTACTGTTTTTAATTACTCTAAGTTGTAAATATTCCAGATTAGCTTTATGGGTTTACTCCTATCCTTGGTCAACTGCTTTTTTACCATCCCAATAAGTCTTCCTGGGTCAGAGAAAACCAATTTCTTTTTGTGGAAAATTTTGAAACATGCTTTCTTGTAACAGTGTACTAATAGCAGCATTTTGACAGTGCAAGCTACATATTGAATTAGCCTTCCTGTTGTTACTAGAAACTCCGCATTATCCTTGTTATAGCTACTTGTTATTAAATCCCTTTCAGAACATTGCCCTGATTTCCTTATGTTAATCATAAAATAGTGTGCTGATAAAATTTTGTGGGACATTATCTAAAGAATTCCGTTATCTCCAGTCTTCATAAATAGATAGTAATATTGATTTAGCCACCTTTTTAAGGCAGTAACTTTTCACTGATAGTCATCACTACCATCACTAAAAATAAAACCTTAGATTTAAATAGTTTAGGTTTGCCCTAACCTGTTTGGCTCAGTGGATAGAGCGTCAGCCTGCGGACTGAAGGGTCCCAGGTTCGATTCCGGTCAAAGGCATGTAACTTGGTTGCGGGCACATCCCCAGTGGGGGGTGTGCAGGAGGCGGCGGCTGATTGATATTTCTCATCAATGTTTCTAACTCTCTATCTCTCTTCCTCTCTGTAAAAAATCAATAAAATATATTAAATAAATAAATAAATAAATAAATAAATAAATAAGTAAGTAATTTAGGTTTTACACACACATAGGCACTATCTTGAGTCTATAAAAAGTACACTCTTGGGGGTGTTTGAACAGGTGATTTTTTTTCAAGTGCAAAGCAGCTAGAAAAGAGATTTAAACTGAAATCCATCTCTCTGATTCTGAATCCAGTGTTTTCCCCACTCTAACACACCTTACTGACTAGGGAATGGCATGAGGTTAGGCTAGTGAATTTTATAGCCTCAGGTGTGAATTATACATTGATAATATATGAGGAATGATGTAAATCCAAATGCTGATATGAAGATACAATGGATATTTTATTTTACATTGAATTAGTATTAATCCATATGAAATATTAGGAGTTTGTAGATAGCACATTACCTAAGATTGACTATTGGAATATAATAGGCATCTAACAATCTAGAATTTGTGTATAAGTTGATAAGAGCAATATTTATGGTGCTGTGTCATATATGGTGATGTGTATCATCTTTTAAGATTCTGTTAAAATATTTGTGTGTATGTATTTTGTAGAATTTCTTTTTAATGACTAACATTTAGGGCTGGTGATGTGATTACTACTTAGGTAAACTGCTGCTTATTACATTTCTTTACATTTCTAATCTTTTTATTAATCCTTAAACACTGTCAAGGTTTTACAATTTTTAAAAAATTTAAAACATTATTTGGAATTTTATTAAAATATATAATAATGTTATACTACACATCTTTTAATTATGCTTGTTTTTTTTCCTAGATGTTATATGATGCATCCTTGTTGTTATTAGAGACCCCACCTTGTTAGTGGATGCATTGAATTTTGTACTATTGACACTACTGATAAGTTTTATGTTTAATGACACTTGTAATCATTAAACTATTATGTATGCAAGGGGATAATGCCAAAGACTAAGTTTCCCTTGTCAACCTTGATAGTGTTTTAGTATAGATGTCTTCCATTAGATACCGGAAATATAAGGGATTCTAGGTAGTTAGTGAATGTACATGTGAACTAAAATGCTCTCTGTGTATTTTCCGTTGTGTAAGTACTTGTTCTAATCCAGTGTTATTGCATTATGTAATTGTTCTCCCTGGGAAAAACAGAATGGCATGCATTTTCCACAATACGTAAGTGACCAAAAACTAGCCTTTTTGCAATAAATTGGCATGCTATTAACCACTGCTGTAGCAGAATCTCATAACCTTTCAGCTATTACTTGTTTTCACATTCAGATTTTCAGTGTGCCAAAAATTCTTCCTAGCATCTACTGATTTCATGGGTGTGTTGCAGAATTGATTCTGATGATGGCATGGGAAATACAGATTTTTTTTCTTGCTTAATATTCTGCCATTTGCTGCCAGATGGCTGGGTGTCTGTGTGTGTATCTTTGCTGCCACTATGCACTTGATGACTTCTGAATGAAGGGAAATGTTGATTGTGGTAATGTTGAAAATAACAATTGCATGAAATCTTACAGGCTTCTGCTGTACTTGGCAGTTTGTCTTCTGCTCTTGCAGCTCTTGGTTTTTAAGTAGGGAGAGACCAATAAGTCCTACATGCTCACCCAAATACTAAACTTCTAACTATTCACTTTAGTTATGCTTCATTTACCTTCTCCATGCATATGTTCAAATTGCCATATATTTCCAGTTGTGTTTTTTTTTTTTTAATGTTTTAGCAGTGTTATTGGTCTTTCGCCTGTATTCAGTTTTAGTTATCATTATAAGATAACACACACAGGGAATGTTGTTAAGACAGCAAATAATATCTAAAATGATTTGTGCTAAGAGATATATTTATGGAGCATGAGTTAAAGGAGGAGGAGATCTTCTTAGTGGTGGGTGGTTCTGTTAAACATTAAAGCATAAACAGATTTAAAAATTCATTGCTCCTCAACTTTGCTGTTTTGCAGAAGATAGTTTAAATAATTTATGGAATTAATAAGGAATGCTAGTGTACATACTTTGTGTAAGAGCTGTGTGCTTTATAGAAATAGTCATACTCAATAGTGGTTTGAACTCTTTGGAGTTCTTTGAAAAAAGTGAATGAGGTCTGTAGAAATTTTTTGGAAGATCAAATTGTTCATTGATTTGGGACCTTTAGTTTTTTTCTTTGCTTAAAAACTGGAAAGCCTAGGAAAACATTCAGAAACATTTTTTATTATAGTAAAAGACTTCAAAGTTTAGTAGAATTATGAATATTTTTTAAAATCTGCAGATTTTTGAAGCTGTAAAAGCCTATTGAAATCTTAGATCATTGTTTAAGTAGCTAAGTTTAAATGGTATTTTTTTTCTTTCTAATCATTCTGCTTTTCTGCTAATTGCAAGGCACCTTTTTTCATTGAGCATTGAAAGTTTTTTTTTATTATAGTTGACAAATTGACAGTTATTAATGATCACATGTGTCACATTTAATCACAGCTGTCTTAGCAATTCTTTTAGTGGAACTACAGCTATTAATTCCTTAAACTCAGTTGACATACAGGAGTTATACTTTTTTGTTTATTTTTTCTTTTACTATTTCAGGCACCCCCTGTAATGGCCTATCCTGCTACTACACCCACAGGCATGATAGGATATGGAATTGTAAGTATCCTATATAATAAAAGCCTAATATACTAAGTGTTTGGTCGTCCCATCATCTGTTCAACCAATCAAAGTATGCTAATGATATGCTAAGGCTGCTCAACCGCTTGCTATGACACGCACTGACCACCAGGGAGCAGATGCTCCAACCAGTAGGTTAGATGTTGCTGTGACCAGTGCTGTCTTAGAGCTTAATGCTGGGGTCAGGCCGATCAGGACTGAGCAAAACAGGCCGGACACGTCCTGGAGCCCTTCCAGCTGGCCAACCTCCCACGTCCCTCCCTGGCCCCAATCATGCACCAGTGGGGTCCCTCGGCCTGGCCTGCGTCCTCTCACAATCTGCAATCCAGGACCCCTCGGGGGATGTCGGAGAGCCGGTTTCAGCCCAATTCCGCAGGTCAGGCTGAGGGACTCCAATGGTGCACGAATTTGTGCACCGGGCCTTTAGTTTTTCTATACACAGCCTTTTAAAAATAGGTTGATTTATATTTAACATGTTTTTATTACAAATGTAACTGCAAAAAGAACTTATTGCCACCCATAACCATTAGTGCCTAACACAGAACCTTGTGTGCACCACAGCATTCATTGGTTTCATAAGTATTTCTAGAATAGTCATACAACATATAATCATTTATTAACGTTCACAGTATTAGTGGCTTATTTTTCATCATAACTTTGCTAGGTATTTTATACTTCATTACAAACTCAAACATTAATATTAACTCCAAGTCTTTATTGCTGTGACCAGTGAAGTCTTAGAGCTTAATACTATAGGGAAAGGGAAGAATTAATAGTTGTTGAATTATGTAGAGTTAAAATTAGTCTAGTAAAAGCCAGAGAAATTGTCCTATGACAATGGTTGGTATCATATAAAAACTGCTCTCTAACTTTAAGCTGGCCATAATCTACATTATAAACTGCCCTTATTCTCCTAACTCTTCATATATAGACTCACTTAGATAAGAAATGGAGTTAGTGGCTTCAACCCCCTGTACATGTTTGAGGAACTGTTGCTGGTAGGAGATAGCACTACATCCCTTGGTATTGCTATGGTGGTGTTTGTGCTACTTCTTCATTTACATCTTCTGGAAGTAGGTCTTTTCCTACATATGAAGAAGTTTCACAGCTTTCGGATTGATGGTCATTACATAAAAAAGGAGTCTATACAAAAACTCAGGCAATAAAGTTAAAGTGAAGTTTCTACAAATAAGAGTCTACTTGAAAGGTTAAATAGAACTTATAGAAAGATAAGATTATAATGCATTTTAACCAAATAATACAGTGGTTTATGTGCTCTAGTTTGTCACTGATTATGTTAATTTTATACCATGGAGTGTTAAGTGGTTTTTTTTATAACCCTCGCCTGAGGATATTTTTCCATCAATTTTTTTGTGTATGTGTAGAGAGAGAGCATGGTGGAGAGCGGGAAAGACAGACACAAATATTAATGTGAGAGAAACAATCAATTGGTTGCCTCCTACACGTGCCCTGACCAGGGCCTGGGCTGGGGAGGAGCCTGCAACTGAGGTATGTGCCTTTGACCAGAATTGAATCCAGAACCCTTCAGTCCGCAGGCCAACGCTCTATCCACTGAACCAAACCAGCTAGGGCATGTAGTGGTAATTTTAAATGTCCTATATAATAAAAGGCTAATATGCAAATCAGTGGAACGACTAGTCGCTATGATGCACACTGACCACCAGGGGGCAGACACAACTCAGGAGCTGCCCCCTGGTGGTCAGTGCACTCCCACAGTGGGAGTGTCGCTCAGCCCAAAGCTGAGCTCAAGGCTGGCGAGCGCAGCAGCAGCAGCAGTGGCAGGAGCCTCTCCTGTCTCCACGGCAGCACTAAGGATGTGCAACTGCCAGCTGCCGTCAGTTGCACATCCCTCAAGGACTCCCAGACTGTGAGAGGGCACAGGCTGGGCTGAGGGACAACCCCCGCCCCCCCAGAGTGCATGAATTTTGTACGTCGGGTATCTAATATCTATATGTTTTTATTGATTTCAGAGAGGAAGGGAGAGGGAGGGAGAGAGAGAGAGAAACATCAATGATGAGAGAGAATCATTGATCAGCTGCCTCCTGCACTCCCCATACTAGGGATCGAGCCCTCAAACCAGACATGTTCCTTGATCAGGAATCGAACTGTGACCTCCTGATTCATAGGGCGACGCTCAACCACTGAGCCACCCTGGCTGGGCTGGAGTGGTGCCTTTTTTGTTTTGGAGTGGTAATTTTTAAAGCAAAAGATGGTCAGTTGAGATTCTATTTTCAGTTAGTCAAGAATGAACTAACCTCTCTGTGTATTAACTAAGCTTCTTGATTCTTCTCTCTTAAAATGTCTCAAATAAAATGAAAAATCCACAGAAAGTAACTCTTCAAAGAATCAGCTGTGCATGATGGCATAAGAATTTAATGTTAGCCCTAGCCGGTTTGGCTCGGTGGATAGAGCATTGGCCTGTGGACTGGGGGTACCAGGTTTGATTCTGGTCGGGGGCATGTACCTTGGTTGCGGGCACATCCCCCCAGTGGGGGGTGTGCAGGAGGCAGCTGATCGATGTTTCTCTCTCATCGATGTTTCTAACTCTCTATCCCTCTCCCTTCCTCTCTGTAAAAAATCAATAAACTATATTTAAAAAATAAAAATAAATAAAAAAATTTGATTTTATATACAAAGGCAGTTACTTTGAACTATCTTAGTCATTTTACAGTTTTAAGTTTCCGTATATCTAAAGATGGAAAATTTGAAAAATTTTTGGTCTAAATTATTTTGTCTGGTATACTGCCATAAGGTTTAAATTTTACAACTCATTGTATAGAAAAACCTAAGCTTTTATACAGGCTTTAAAAATGGGCACATTAAAGACTTTCCATACCAAACTAAATACTCTTAAAAATTTTTATCTATCAGTCTTACTTGTATTTACAGGAATTTTGCCTTTGAGTTAAAGCAAAAGTAGTAGTAGTTTTCCTCCCTGTTATCCTTCTTGTTTACTTATCCTATATAATAAAGAGCTAATATGCTAATTAGACTGGACAGCTGAACGACCTTCTGAAACAACCAGTGGGTGGGGCTTCGGGGCCTTGAGGCAGCTGGAGCTGTGAAGGCCTACTCTTGCATGAATTTCGTGCATTGGGCCTCTAGTTTTATAATAAGGGAGATGTGAGCCACATTCTTTAACTTGGTATTTTTCTATTTTTCAGCCTCCTCAAATGGGAAGTGTACCTGTAATGACACAACCAACCTTAATATACAACCAGCCTGTCATGAGACCACCAAACCCCTTTGGCCCTGTATCAGGAGCACAGGTATTAATTAATGTGCTACATGTAACTGTTTTGATGTGCTTGGTGTGGAAGGAGCACAATGCTAAAAATGTCCTTTCATACAACTTGAGAAACAAGTTAGTGCTTTATATCTTTCTCATCTAAGAGCTTTTAGGATTATTGATTATTTGGAGGGAAAGGACAAGCAGATTACAAATATTAAAGATGGAAAATGCTTGGTAACTTACTCTTGATGAATCTAGAGGACAGTTTTTCTGAGGGTAAGGAACCTATTTCTGTTCATGATTCTGGCATGATCTCCTTCGTGGACCCTGGAAACTTTGGCCTCAGAGCTCCCCTGCCTTGTCATTTGAGTGCCAGTGCAGTTGGTAATGGACTGTTATTCTTTTTTCACTGGATGCATGTAGTTTTATATTTGCCAGTGCACATAGTATTACATTGCCAGAATTAGTTAGTGTTGATCCAGTCTGAATCTAGTCTCATGTATTTCATAGTCTAGTGAAGCATTAGGAGATCCTTTCATTTTCAGTCTTTTTAAATTTTTTAAATTTATTTTTAAATTTTATTGATTTTAGAGAGAGTGAAGGAGAGGGATAAAGAGATGGAAACATCAATGAGAGAGAAACATTGATGGTCTGCCTCCTGCATGACCCTCATTGGGGATCCTGCCCACAAACTGGGCATGTGCCCTGACTAGGAATCGAACCGAGCCTCACTGGCCAGGCATTTTTTTCAGACTTTTTGAGTATTGAACTCATTATAATAAATTGGCATCTCAGGGAGTACTAGTAACTGGGAGTAGATTTTGAATTTAGTTCTTATTAAGAGGTAAAATCCATGCTTTTTGCAATTCATATATTTGCCCAGATGCCTCTTCTTTTATGTTACAGTGACCTTTTCTTCCTGTTCCTTAAATCAATTGAGTACTGTACACCTGGATGTCAGGGTAATAGATGTAATAATTACTCTTTTATAAGTCACTTAATTTTTATGTATTTATTAAAAGTCATCTGCATTTATCTATAAGATCATTGTGGGGGGGGGGTATTTTTATTTATTTATTCATTTTAATCCTCACCTGAGAATATTCTTCCATTGATTTTTAGAGAGAGTGGAAGAGAGAGGGAAAGACAAAGAGAAATATCGGTGTGAGAGAAACACATTGATTGGTTGCCTCCTACACAAGCCCTGACCAGGGCCCGGGCCGAGGAGGAGCCTACAACTGAGGTACATGCCCTCAACCAGAATTGAACCTGAGACCCTTTGGTCCACAGGCTGACACTCTGGCCACTGAGCCAAACCAGTTAGGGCTTTATGCATCTTTTAAATAAAATGGGTTATGGGTATGTATAGATTTTTTTTCTATTCTGTCTTTTACTAACAATACTTGTTGTTGTTGTTGTTGTTAATCATCATCTGAAGGTATTTCTTCCAGTAATTTTTAGAGAGAGTAGACGGGGTGGTAGGGAGAGAGAGAGAAAGAGAAATGTTAATGTGAGAGAGACACATTGATAATTTGCCTCCCGTATGTACCCTGACTGGGGCTGGGATTGCATCTGCAACCCAGGTACTTGCCCAGAAATCGAATCAGCGATCCTTCAGAATGGGAGCCAATGCTGTAGCACTGCACACACTGGCCAGGGCTTTCCAGCAGTACTTTTAAGTGCTGGCTTAATTTGCTAAAGAAACAAATTAGATTTTGATAATCTTTTAAGATGTTGATGATTTTCCTTAGTATTTATGTAGATGTTTTCTTGAGATTATGTTTTCCTCATGTTCTTTACTTTTTTCTTTGTTCTTTTATCTTCAGATATATATCATTTATTTTAAAGAATTAACTTGTTATTTTGGTGTTTCTGTGAGTTATGTGGATCATATCACTGTCAGAGACTAAGTGATAAGAACTTAAATGTATTTAAGGGGAAAAATACACACTGTAGTCCAGAGCTATAAATTTACCAGAAATTGCTGGCTACAGAAGTGTTTTCCTGATGTGTGGCTTAACTCTGCACCCAGTCTGGTGTTGTCTTGCAAGCTCCTGTCTCAGAAACAGAATAATTATCTCAAAAAATCTTTAAGATCGATAGATGGGCCTAGTATCACCATCTTTATAGATATAAAAAGCTGAAACTTGGAAAGATTCTTCAACTGAATGACTAGTGAAATTCAACTTATCCCTAGGAATTCCTAATCCTCGTCCAGTGCTCCTTAGTGCTACACTGCCTTATCAATATAGGACTGAGCTGATGGCTATATATGACCCCTTCGGAGCACTGTCTTCCTTTTGTCAGAACCATTCTGCAGATTCCTTGGGTTTCCTTCTAGAATATAAACTGCATTAAGGATATAACTACTATGATTGTCAAGAACATTCTCTACAATTTTGGATAATACTATCAACCTTGAAACATTTTATGTTAGTTTTTCTAATCTTTTTAATATGGTTTTAAAAAAAATTGTCATAAAACTCTACCTTTAAAAAAATTGCTGACCCTCTAGCATCTGCCTTAACCCAGGTTTTTATATCCTTTTGCCTATAAAAAAAAACATAACTCACTGAAACACCGAAAAAGTGCAAGAATTTCCGTGTGCATGAAAAGAAACCATGACAGAAATGCCTTTTCCTAATTACTTCATGCCAGAGTAGAACAGAATGAGAACATTGGTCAGTTTTTAGTTGAGAAGTCAAATTTGAAGTGAGTACTTAATGATAAATATTACTGATTGAAAGAGCACATAAAGGAATCAGTTGATAACTAGAAAAAGAGAAAATCTGGTGCCAGTGAAGTGGCTCAGAAAGGCTTTGGTCTCCTCACAGTCGTCATTTGAATCAGTTGAAAGTTAGAATCTTGAACCTTTTTAATGCAGTGGTTCTCAACCTATGGGTCGCGACCCCTTTGGGGGTTGAACGACCCTTTCACAGGGGTCGCCTAAGACTATTGGAAAACACATACATAATTACATACTGCTTTTGTGATTAATCACTATGCTTTAATTATGTTCAATTTGTAACAATGAAATTGGAGGTCACCACAACATGAGAAACTGTATTAAAGGGTCGCGGCATTAGAAAGGTTGAACCACTGTTTTAATGTTACTTTGAATTCCTTTACCCCCTTTGTTCTCCATGTATTTTATCATATAGTCCCACTGATTGTTTCTCTGCTCGCATTAGATCCACCCTTCTGTGGTCTCCAGTTTTCACCTGGATTTGAACCTCTCTCTCCCGTGTTTATTTTCCAAGTCTCCCTGTGTTCCTTGCCTTTCTAATTTAATCAGTTACCTAGATACTTCAATGACCTTCTATAGGTAGTATTTGTAGCATCTTATCTCTACATTCAAAAATATAAGGAAGTGAATCTAAATATAAGTGAACAGATGAGGCATCCCCTCAGTTTTCCTTATGTATTAAAACTACCTCACAAAGTCTCTTGTAAGAGTAATAATGAGTAAACAGAATATTCAGGGTCTTCAATCCCCATGCCTTTACAATTCTTGATAAGTATCCAGTGTTCTGCTCCTACTTCTTTTCCAGAAGTCCTTCATCTGTCATAAAAATCTGTCATAAAAATGGATTTACTCTTTACTCATTCTCTGCTCATCTCATTTCTTTTCAGACTTTCTGAAGTCTGAAGTTCTTTTCCTTGTTCTGCATTATTTTTCTTTGTAGAACTTATTACTACCTGATATCTGTCTGTCTGTCTGCACATCCATCCATCCATCCAATCTAGCAAGAGACCCTGATACTAGATTGTAAGCCTTTTAGAGCAGGCTTCTATGTGGCTTGTTTAGTTCTGTGTCCCTGGTTCCTAGAATGGTACCTGACTCATAAGAGGTTTTGAATATTATTTGTCAAACAAGTAGATCTGATTGAAAAACAACTTTTCCATCATGTAATTTACTGTTTTCATTCACTTGTAACCATTGAAAATATAGCAGTGTTCAAAATTGCTTTAACTTATTGGTTAATAGCTACTGTAAGCTAAAATGTTGGATGACTGTCGCCTGAGGAATGAAGACACCTTTAATTTCATGATTAAATATTTTTAGTAATTTTAAAAATAAACTGTCTTTAAAGTAGGTGAGATTTTTCTCATACTTTAATTATTAATGATTCTTAGTCAGTTCCTTGGATTAATTTTATCCATTCAGTGCTAGCTAGAACCAACATAATTTTTCTTAATGAATTACTTTTTAGTTTTTCTCATCTTGCTCTATTTTTGCAATTAGATTGAAAATTCTTTAAGGGTAGAGGACATCTCTTCATACATTATAAAATAAATGGTAGTTTGCATATAAAATGAAATCCCACCAAAGTAAAATCTTTTCATCAAATCCCACTTCTATAGCTATTGCCAAAAATCTTTCCCTCTTCCTTGAAATGTTTTAGAAGCCATTCCTTGCCTAGGGAATACCTTACAGCTCCTGTTTTCTTGCTTACTTACTCTTAAAATCAAATTAATATTTTTGAGAGTACTTTAGCCCTCCCAGATATGTTTATCTTCTTGCTATTTATTTAGTGAGCATTCCAAACATTGTACTTTGTGATCTACATTATTATTTAGGTTACTCTTAAGTGCTGCATTAGTGCTTGCTAGTGAGAAAGTTGGTTCTGTTCTTTAGGAAATTGTCTTTATTATAACTTTAACTTCATAGACAACACTGTATTATTGAAATTATGCCTTTCTATACACTCAACCCTTTTGTGTCCCCATTTTTTATGCTGGCTTATTCTTTATTTTTCAGATAATTTTTTGTAACTGCTAGTTGCTTAAAGAAGGGTACTGAGTTCTTCTATTTCATGCCTAACATTGTGCATTTTAAAAAGAAAAAGTACATTAGTGAATCTTCCTAGGTGTTTGACTACATGGAAAATACTAGATCTCTGTAGTTAAAGCTTTTTTTCCTCTTTGCTTCCTCAGTTTTGCTCATTTTTTGATTGGTGGTTGCAGGTTACCAGTGGGTCTGTTTCTTAACTTGCAGAGAATGGGGACTCTTACACCTTCTCTTCCTGGTGCTTA